AAAAACGGCCGAGAGACAAAAGCTGCCCATGCCTTGGTCCAGTGGCGGTTCCAGACCATTTTAACTGGGGGGGGGGGGCAGATTCTGGCCAATTGTTCCGTTAGAGGGGGGCAGACGCATTTGACCTTAATGTCCTCCAAGTATTACATACATTAAATTGCCAGCATTAAGAAGCAAAAGACTCTCGGAAACCAATAAGTTAATGCGATGCTTCACAGTTACATTTCACAGTTTTCACAAACATGTAACTCACTCTGATTTCTTGCTTAGACGGTTGATTTATTTTTTTCACCAACTGAAGCGATTCGATGAAAGTGTTTCGCCTGTTTCCAGTACACAAAATTTTACTCCACATATATAAATGTAAATAATAAGTAAGAAATAATAATAATGTATTTATTTCAGACCCAAATAGCATACGAATTTTGGGGGGGGGGGTCCTGCCTTCCCTCTCACCCCTCCCAGAACCACCCCAGCTCTTTAGTCGTCACAAGGGCTGAACCATTTCATCCCTGTGCCGTGGACAAAAACCGGAATGCGCACATCTACTCATCTGTCCATCACTCTCTGCACTGCCGGAGTCTTAAGATTAATTATGTTATCGAACTAATTAAGAAGCCCAGACCCGATGTCGCACACAAAGAGAGCGGTTTATCCCCTTAATTACAAATTTGTCAAATAGAACGGAGACGTAACTGTGGCAGATGGGAAGTACTGTGTGCATGTGATTTTTCTTGCTTTCACCCTCCCAGTATGTCAGACTGTCAGGATCTAGGGGGCAAATTGGCACCAGTGGGAGGTGAAAACATAGTTAATCAGCTGGACTGGATGTGAGGAGGCGGCTCTAGTCTTATTGAGATTGGTTCAGAGGGCTTAACTCCCCAGGGCTGGCGTCCTCACATGCCGCCCCCCCCCCCCCCCCGTCAGACACACACAGACCGTCTCCCCTGTAGGCAACAGTAATGTGTGTTTTTCTTGTTATTTGCCAGCTGTGACTCGTACAGCCGAGCTGAAGTGTGTCCCTCCGTCGCTGTTCATGTCACATTTTCCCGGAGAGTCTGCGGATGACAGAGGATCCTCCTCTGTGGGTTACGGTCTTCTGTGAGCTAAGAGAAGGGCGGAGAGGAGGGTGACGGAGTGTGTGGGATGAAAGAGAGGCGGCTTCCTCAGGGAGACGCCGGCTGTCAGGAAGGAGGTTGGGGAGTCTGGGCTTCAATGCTGCCTCTCCGCGAGTTTGGGAAACACGACTGTCATCCCTTTGTGTCTAGGTTCATCTAATTGGTGTAGTAGGGAGGCGGTTTGTTTATTTAAATAGACCACGCCGTATCGTCATTTCGGAAATTCGCAGCCAGCAGGTGGCGTAGTGCCCGAGGGACTGGATGCAAGCGGTATATTCAGGTTGCCTTCGCTGGCTCTCAGCCCCCATCCTCGGTCCAGAGCGTCGCTCTCCTGGGGCCTTTCCTCCATCCACACGCTTTGATCACCCTTCATCCCATTAGCGATGCAGATTTCCTGCTTATCTGACCGTCTGCTCCTCTTCTGCTAAGCGGCGATCTGCTTCAGGTCCACAGGCAGCTACAGAACCACCTGTTTTGGCAAAGTCCTGGCAGCACCGTTCCCCCCCCCTGTTTATTGTGCCGAATGTAATAATGGATCCTTAATTACACGAGAAAAGGCCTTCTAAATGTGCCCAAATTCTACTGGAAGAAATGACTGCTGTGCTGTACTGCAATAGAATAAAAAACTAGAATTTAAATATTAATGTTTATACCAGAAGGGAAAGGCTTCTAAAATGTAATTTTTTCTGAGTGGGCGGGTCTTGGTGTGGAGGGCGTGGTCTTGGTGGTGGGGGGGTGGCTTTGGCCAGGGCTGCCCTCTCTTGCAGGTGACACAGACATACTACCATAAAGTAGGGCTTTATTGATCTAATGTGGAAAACACATAGGGTCTGGATATTTTGGTTCGTATTACGGTCCACTAATTAATATTCCATATCGGTGGATTATTCTTTTAAATGTAATTAGCTGTAGGCTTCAAAAGAAGCAATGCTTGAAAAAAGATTAAGATCGCATATCTGAATGTTTATTTATTGTAAAAAATTTCCCTGCAGAACTACTGATAATTGACATGGAATACCGTGGAATCCCTGTCCTTAAAGAACACAAGCCAGAGATGAGATTTAATTTAGGAGGCTTTGCGATTTTGATTATTTTTCACTCCCCTTTAGGGAAAATGAGAATGCTGCTATATAAAGACGGGATTGAGAAACACTCAAACACACGTACACACACACACACAGACACACACAGACAGACTGACACACATAACACAGACAGACACACACATACAGACTGACTGACACACACATACAGACACACAACACACACACACAGACATTGACACACACAGACACACACACACAGACAGACTGACTGACACACACACACAGACTGACACACAGACACAGACTGATACACACATAACACACAGACACACACAGACGCAGAGACACATACTGTTGCGGTTTGAGGGTTATTTGAAAGTGCCTGGAAAGCTGTTTGTGAGAGTGGATTCATCTACATTAAGGATACATCCTATCAGATATGGCTCCCCTGCTTGAATCCGACCTCGGCACCTGCACCCGGACTGGAAACCAGGAACGTCACAGAATTCAGGCGTAAATGAGACGCAGTGTTGAGTCAGGTAAAGGATATTAAGCTGGTTATACGGCGCAGCTACACAAAGGACACAATGAATATATCTTTGCTTTTAGGGTTATTATCTTCCTATTAGGCAGTCATCATTGTCACAGTCATCCTCGCTCTAAATGGCTTTTCACGCCTAGTGCACTCCGATAGCAGCGATCATTGTTCTGCTGTCAGGGTTGTTCTTTGTGAGATATGGATTAACTGGTGTGGTGTTAAGAAGTCACTCTGCGCTGCTTCAGGGGTCAAGTGACACGTGCCCGACCGAGCCATCAGGCTTTCTCAGTCAATGAAATTTATAGACTTCAGGTCTGTAACAAAACCAGAATGATTTCAGCCCTATTGTGACTAAAGCCATCAGTGGTAGCCAGTGATTCAAGTGGATTCAAAGCTTTTATGGGTCATATGCACAGTATGCATTCCAACCATAACCTGCAGTGAAATACAAAGTGACGAACTCCGCCATAAAAACACTGGAAGCAGTAACACAACGTTACAATATAATAAATATGGAATAAATAAGGAACAGTAAAGTTATGCTGGTAATAAGAGAAAGAAGGTCAGATATGTGCAACATAGTGTAATTACTACTGTCAGTTAGTATTAAGTAGTCTGATGGCCTGAGGGTAGAAGCTGCTTCTGAGCCTCTCAGTTCCCACCGAAAGACAACAAAAGCACTTTCATGATCTTAGCCTGGTGGGCCAGTACTCACCAGCACGTGTTACCAGCTCCTCTTTTTACTTCAGAGTATGGGCACCTCTCAATATCTGCTGGTATTGAATAACAAGGTGAGTACCGGCACCTGGTGCTGAATAACAAGGTGAGTACNTGAATAACAAGGTGAGTACCGGCACCTGGTGCTGAATAACAAGGTGAGTACCGGCACCTGGTGCTGAATAACAAGGTGAGTACCGGCACCTGGTTCTGAATAACAAGGAGAGTACCGGCACCTGATACTCAATAACAAGGTGAGTACCTGCACCTGGTACTGAATGACAAGGGGAGTACCGGCACTTGGTACTGAATAACAAGGGGAGTACTTGCACTTGGTGCTGAATAACAAGGTGAGTACCTGCACCTGATACTCAATAACAAGCTGAGTACTTGCACCTGGTACTGAATAACAAGGGGAGTACTGGCACTTGGTACTGAATAACAAGGGGAGTACTGGCACCTGTTTTTCCCCACTTCAAGCATTGGTGCTAACCAATGAAATCGTTTGGCTTTGTTATAAACCTGAAGCATTTTGACAGTTGGAATTTGTCCCGATAAGGACTTCTCATGCTTGTCAGGCACACAATCCCCAACAACAGAAGAACATGTGCGGTGATGTGGTAACGTTCGGATTTTGAAGAGATGTTTTGGTTTCAAGCCTCCATGTTCCAGTGATGTTCAGCTGTAGAGGAGGTTCTGGTGCTGTGTCGTGCTGTGTCAAGGTTTTCCACTAATGAGGAGGAATTTAGGTTTTGGGGTGATGTTCAGGCAAGGTGGTGTTGGGGTCTCGTGAAGGATGATAAGAAGATGTCCTGGTTTAAGATGTCCTTACTCAACACGAAGACCTGCTGACTGTAATGTCAGCCAGGTGCACACTTCCACTGTAAGCTCTGCCCCTTCGCGTTTCCATGGTTTCCACTGTAAGCTCCGCCCCTTCGTGTTTCCATGGTTTCATTATGTGTCCCCTCTGTTCTCCTAACATCCAAAAAACCACTCAGTTTGGAGGTGAAGTATTGTTAAAAAACAAAAACATTTACATTTATTTTTATCTTCCAAAGCAACTACAGACATATGTGCTGAATTGACTTGGCACAGGTGAACATTTTCCATGAGCTCTCCAAAAATGTAAGGTGGACCAGGAGAACCGGTCAGGTCCTGCACGTCTGTGGGCTTCTGCCTTCCCCTCCTGGGGGGGGGGGGGCTTTTTCCCCTCCTGGTCCCCTTCATACCTTCCCTATGTCAGTTATTGTTCCAGCTGATCTCTTAATTAATTATCCCGACAGGACTCTTGATTGAAGTTAATTACAATTCAAATCTCACTATAGCTTTTCCAAATTGAGTTAAATTAAATTAGTCTCATTTAGGAATGTTTTTTAATTAATCAGTTATTACTTAAGCCTTCTGAGCTGAAAACTATAGAACCGATTACGCTTAATAATTGCCTAATTTATTCTATTTTGGTGAAGTTGCACAAATAAAAGCGACGTATTTGCACAAACACCATTTGACGTTCTAATCTTTCTGTGAATTAGCAAGCGTGCCCGAGCATTATTATCCAATGTTTATGCGACTGTTTTTCAGACATCAACATGGCAGGCGAACCCAGGCCCTATAGGCCTAAGCTGGGATCCAAACGACCCATCTCTGCCATCTACAGGTGAGGCCAGCTATGACGGCAGGGCCTGCCGGCTGTTATCCTTAGACGGGATGGTGAGCTAGCAGCAGGGCCGTATGTGGACAGACTTGTGCGCTTGAACAGAAGCTGGTATGCATCAGAAGGAAAAACACAACTAATTATTATCACAGTTGAGTTATGAGATCAGGGGTGAGGTTCCTGATGCAGCCTTAACGTTACCTTCGTAAAAGATAGAACTTACAAGCGATGTAGCGTTAAGGAGACTTCGGGAAACTCGCCCCAGGTCTCTCAGACTCTGTTTCATCTCGTGACAAAATATCTTATACTTGGTTTTGGAGAAAACACTATCATTTACCTATCGAAGTACTGGTGGACAGTCAAGAAACTTAGAAGCCCATTTTTCTCAATTTCTATGTCAGTGTAGTTACTGTGTGTCACCTTTGTGGGGCAGTATAGTGCCATAACTGAAAAGGGTCTGAAAGAGGTGACTGGGGGGCTGTAAGGTCCATTAAATGGTGGTGGAGTGTCTGGGTTTCACCTGGCAGTTTGAGATGATCAGGAGGTTAAGGGCACCTTCAGATAAACTGACCAGGATGTACCGTCCTTCATCAGTCGGTACACGCGGGGTTAAGGACCTTAAATCTTCCCACTACGTTTTAGGTTTACATCGCTGGAGGTTATTCTTGTGGTCCGTGCATAGCACACTTAGAAAAGAGAGGCGGCGTGGGAATTTTTAACAACTTAGGCCTCCATGCCTGTGATCAGAAGGTCGCCAGTTCAAATCCCAGGGTTGGCAGAGTCACTTCAACAACGGACATGGCTTCGGATTAAGGTGCCTGCTATATAAGTGAAATTATATTATTACCTGACATGCTTTCTCTCTTCCTGTTTGTCTCAACGTCCACAGTGGTTATGAGTTCGACTACGACTACTACAGAGATGACTTTTACAGCCGGTAGGTGACTGTGGCACGTCCCTGTCCTGAACGGCACCGCCCGCTCGCCAAATGGATGTCAAACCATTTTTCCCCTTGTTGCATCATGTCGCTCTTTAATGTTAATATAAGCTCACCCATGTAGCAGTGAAAAGCAAACAATGTCTAAAATAATTTCCCCAAAGTGCTGAACACACCGATAACTATACCTCTGTGTGCTTAAAAACTTTGTGTGAATCACATTTGCCACTAGAGACAGGACATACATCTATAATCTTTCTCATAAATGGGGCTTAGGCAGCTTAAATGTTAAAAAAAGAGATCAAGTGTGGCAGGTAGAGAGTAAATCCTTTTGTGTTTGTTGGCCCAAGGTGTTGTCATTGCGCAGTCAGCAGCATTCACAGCTAAATATTCATATCGGAGCAGCAGGCTTTTGTGGCTCAGTGGTTTGGGACACTGTGCTTGTTATCAGAAGGTCACTGGCTCAAATCCCAGGGCTGGAAGATTGATTTCACTATTGGGCCCTTGACCAAGGCCCTTAGCCCCAATTGCTCCAGGGACTGACTGACCCCTCTTTCACAATATCACCTTGGATAAAATAAATGAAATGTAAATGTCTGAGAGCTGCTGAACTCGCCCTCAGTTTAAAACATGACTTTCACCTCAGAAAAGCTACAGGGTTAATTGTCCGTCCGACGTGGATTTCATTTACGTGTTTCTCTCTGGTAAACAAGGCAGGTTCCCTTCTGCTGTTGAAATGGAAAAACGCAGAGCGACTCCCCTAATGGATAAAAAGGGAAATTTATGTGATATAGTTGCTGTCACCAAGCAACAGAAAAAGAGCCTGTGAACCAGGTGTGGGTTTGTGGCGGCCATGGCTGGTGTTCGGGAGCTTAAGGGGGTGGGGCCACATGGGGTATTGAAAGCTGATTGGCCCAGAGAGTAGCCCCTCCTCTGTCACCCACTCATTCAAAACATATGATTGGCTAATTATAGATAAGGTCGGCCCCTTTGTATGATTTATATGTCCCTCACATTGAAATGTCCTAGAATTGCCCCTGGGGGTGATCGGAGATATTTCACTTTCTGGTCACCAAGCAACCCATGGGATACGAATAGAAACCGGGGAGGAAGTCAGATGCTGGGGAATCTCCATGTAAAGAGAACATCATTAAATTGCGATCCAAACTATGAAATATGCCAGGCTTGCTGTTCAACTTAATTACATCGTCTTCAGGACTATAGACTAAACATTACACGTTACGATTGTGTAAGTTTGATGTCAGTCGACTTTGTTTCGTTCTGATTTATAACGAAAAAAATCGCAGGCTGAAGACTTTGTGTTGCGAATCATCTTGTTGGACCAGCAGATGTTGTGCAGTCCTGGCTCTCTGCTCCGTCCCGCATAGTTACGCCTCTTCCCGCTGCTTGATTTGCAGTCTGTTTGAATACCACGGCCGAGTAGCAGCCCCCCCGCGACCGGTCATTCCGATCAAGCGATCCCGGGTCGTGGTTCCCTCCACACGCAGGGTGAAGACCGCCTCCTTCCCTCTCAAGATGGTGTCCTCTTCCTCCTCATCCTCCAGAGTGCCCACAGCCAGCTCTTCATCCTCTGGCCCGAAACGTAAGCACACCCGCCTCCCCTTCTCTCCCGTAGGGCACCCGGAAGTTCGTTTGCCTCTTCACAGTGTGCAGGAGAAAAATGCTATGAAGTCTTGTCCTTCTGAGATCTTGCACTTTATATTTGCTTTCTGAAGAGGACTTTCAATTTTTGCTCACATCTCTCATACTGTGCATGTCACTCTATTACGTCCTGTTGCTTCATAAAGAGGACAGCGGGGGCTTTAATGTGAGATCAGGTGTGTGGGGGCACACTTACAGCCTGTAGGCTAAGCGGTCAGTAAATCAGTCCACTATCTCTGCATCCTCACGCCTTCCTGAGCTCGGGGGCGGGCTGGCACAGCGCCGCCCTAGTGGCCAGTGACCTCACACCTCGCCGGTTCCCGGGACTCGCTCGGCGGGGACAACGAGGTGCTAGACGACAGACGCTGTCACCGCGTCACCGCGTGCATTAACATGCTCAGGAAGCAGGGCTACATTCATGTCAGGCCGATGCAGAGAACAGCAGAGAGGGGAGATAATATATGGAGATAATTAATAGGAATTAATGATATCCATACAAAACCTACTTTATTGCAGTTTGCAGTGCCAATTTCAGTGCCAAATCAATTCATTATGAAGATTAAAAACTCCCTGGCTGCACAGGAGTTGTTTACAGAATGTATACATTTGTGTTCATGTATAATATATCCATCCATCCATCCATCCATCCATAAAGGGTTTATCGGGTTAGGGTTAGGGTTGGGTCTAGCTATCAGCAAAATAGGCAGTTGCCTGCGGCCTCTGAATCACCTGCGTTGCAGAAGCAGTGAAATGGTCATCAGTTTTCTTGGTGGGGGGGGGCCTCTCTAGTAAAGCTTTGCCTGGGGATGCTGAAAAGGTAGATCCGGCCCTGGGGAGGGGGTACATGCTCATCCCCGGGGGGATCGTGGTCCATCGGGTGATTTCACAGACAGTAAGAAGCGTTTGCTTTGCCAGCGGCTCCCCGGAACCGTGACGGGGGGGGGGGGGGGGCAGCACAGGCAGCGCGATACGGCAGGACCCCGGCATCCCTAAGACGCGGTTTTATCCGAGAAAAAATACGGGATATTTATTTTACGGAATGAATCAAACATTTCTTTTCCTTCCCAGTCCGCTCGCATCCTGCTCTTTCTCCTTGTTATTACATCGTCATCTATTGAAAGATTATATTTAATATTTATTTGGTGAGTTTTTTCTGATTTTTTTTGGCATGATTTGTATGTTCAATACTTATGTTTTTGCCGCCAGTAAGCATGTTTTGTTTCTGGACGTGTGAATCAGTGTTTAATTAAATCTTCCGTGAGGATTTAGTCACCGCCTCTTCCATGATAATTTTAGATGAAAAATATCTGACAGTCACCGGAATACAGGCGAATAGCGAGCATTACCAGACTGTATTTGTTTATCTTTCACTAAGCGAGAGGCTAAAATGCTACAGAAAGTTCCGGTTGTCATCTGAAGGAGCAACAACCTCCACATCCAACTTCATTCTCAACCTTGAAATAGACAGCAGTGGTGATCATTCCAAATGAACAGGATATATTTCCCACTGCAACAACCCACACGTGTACATATGTAAATACTTATCTATTCTGTAATGCTTGTGCTGCCTTTTGCACACCATGGATATTTCTAACTATTTAATCATTAATGTTTGTTAGGTGCCCTGCGATGGGTTCGCGGCCCATCCTTGGTTGTTCCCTGCCTTGTGCCCTGCGATGGGTTCACGCCCCATCCTTGGTTGTTCCCTGCCTTGTGCCCTGCGATGGGTTCGCGCCCCATCCTTGGTTGTTCTCTGCCTTGTGCCTTGCGATGGGTTCGCGCCCCATCCTTGGTTGTTCCCTGCCTTGTGCCCTGCGATGGGTTCGCGCCCCATCCTTGGTTGTTCCCTGCCTTGTGCCCTGCGATGGGTTCACGCCCCATCCTTGGTTGTTCCCTGCCTTGTGCCCTGCGATGGGTTCGCGGCCCATCCTTGGTTGTTCCCTGCCTTGTGCCCATAGCCTCCAAGATAGGCTCCGGCCCCCTATGACCCTAAACAGGGCAAGCAGTTTCAGAAAATGGATGGATGGATGGATGGACAAATGGATGGATAATGTTTGTTATTACATGTCTTGTCTCGTAAATTTATGCTATCTATCTTTTTCAAATAACACTGTTATACTAGAAACAGTGAGATCATAAATGGTATGTTAGATTCGGGTCTAAAGGTTATGATGATCCTGAAGTAGAGTTTCTACTTCAGTCTGGGGTGTATATACCATAATAAGATGTCTGTTACTTTTTGGGTCCATTTTCAGGAAATATTGAAAAGTTTGGCTATAATTCCATCCATCCATAATCTGTAAGTGCACATCGACCAGACTCTCTCTTTAGCCTCATTAGACAGTAAGACAGTTTCAGTCATGAACAGTTTGTCACCTGTCTCTGGATTGTTCCCAGAATGCTTTTCTAGTAGCCATTCTGACAGCACCCTGGTTCGCAGGGTGGAGGTTCTTCTTTGGAGATCACCAGCTGTCACCCGTGGATTTCTCAAGCCATCTGTTCCAATAGGGGGGAGTGTGACGGCGCCCTCTACCTGGCGGGATGTCCACTGCACCTGTGGCCCTGTGTTTAATTATCGCTGCCACATTGTAGAGCTGTGAATTTAACTCAATATGATTTTTCCTTTTTCTGGTCTGTAGGGGTCAATGACCTTTTCAAATTACTGGCCAAACAACATACAGTCGCTTCCTTAAGTTTTTACCGATTACATCGCAAAAGTGTAGCTTAGTACTATTTTGCTTGTTTTTGAAGGACGTATATCATCACTGTCCAATGAAAAACCTGTATCTCCAAAACTCCATTATTTGAGGAGAGTGAAAAAAATGCATTTTCACAGAAGCTACTATACAAAATAAACCCAAAACAACACAATGAGACACCCTTAGTACCCTACCTTGACGCAGCCATAAGTGACCAGTATACTGTGTTAAATGGACCTTTGTGGATTGTTACCAGGGAGGGAGATATGTCACTGTCAACAAGATACAAACAATTCTCACTTTATATTCACAATTAGCAATGATAATAGTTAGCTAGCTATCTAGCTATCAACATTACGTTGTTAGAATTAGCAATATAAAGTAATCCATACAAACAACCCTCATGAATATAAATGTTAATAACCACAAACGTAAATGGTAGTTAGATAGATGACTTTATAAAACATCTTTTCATTGGTCACTTAGGTGTCAAATGCTATCAGTAGACAGAGGGCGTATTCCATCTATAGTAAAAAGTCACAATCTTCAAAAAGTTTTCATCAGAGAGCGATGATATAGAGGTAGAGGGTGATATAATGATGCAAATTAATTTAGGGGGGAATTCACCTTCGGAGTTTTACTTATGAAGATGAGAATCTGCTCAGTTTAATCCCAAATTAGGATGGACCGGCGCTGTCGCGGTTCCCTCCCGTCCAGGATGTGCTGAAGACGGATTCTCCATAGGAGCCAAATTAGGGAGTCTCTTTCATGCCTTCAGCGCCTGGTTCATCTTGAACGTCTGCTTCATCCTCAAAGGCTCCCTGGAGTTTAGGCAGCCGGACTGATCACACTATTCCGCCGCTGTGACATTACATGTGACACGCGTGCGTCACCTCGCGGGTGTCATCAGCTGTCATGTCAGGTGTCATCCTGAAATATATCCTGAAATAAAGAAGCATTATCGTTATTTAACAAGATAATGATCAGAAAAATGAATAAAATAATAAAAGTCAGTGTGCAATAAACCAAAGCTCACGGTTCTGTTACCTGCTTTTATTGAATTAATGGCAGGATTATTAATTAATCAGAGTAGAGGTTCTCAATCCCTGTTTCTGGTCCACGGCCGGTATAGCAGTGGGGTTTTGCGAAGGGGTTGGTTAATTTCCAAAAATAAACTGTACATTTTCATGTTTTATGACCCCTCACGTTTCTGTCTGTTCGGAAATGTTATGTTACGAAAATGCTGATCGGTCCCCCGTACTTTGAAAGGTTGGGAACCTCTAAATTAGAGCAGTTGAGGATCCATGCTGTCCGCACATGTGGGTCATGTGACTGTCCGCACATGTGATGCAGAAAGCTTAGAAAAATGGTGGCCCAGGGACCTGGGCACTGATCTGTGTCTTTATTAGTTCAGTTTTTCGTATCAACCACTTAACCCTAAAATCTCCTCTGAGCATCTAACCATTTGCTGTCTGTCTGCAGTGAAGACGGGCCAGCTGCAGACGATCAAGCGGGAGATGACGCAGATCAAGACCAAGATCGACTCCCTGCTCAGCCGGCTGGATAAGATCGAGAAGCAGCAGAGAGTGGAGTGCGGTAAGGGAGTGCACACACTACCATTGCTCTTTCTGACAGCGTTGGAGATAGAGGTCCACGGTGCTCAGTCACTGGACACCCGAACGTGTCTGTCAGGGCTGGGAGAGTTGGGGACCAGTAAAAGAGGGAATTAAGGCAGGAGTTATCATTCGTACTGTCGGCAGAATTTCAATAACAGTCAAAGGCGTTTGTCAAAGAAAGAGGCATCTGATTTCGGGGGGGAGGCCATTAACAGAGGAGGAGATTGGCCACTCCAGACTGGCAGAATATGAGTCAGTCATATATAGTCTAGACTCTTATCATGAGACAGCTCAGCTTTGGGGATCAGAGTGTACTTCACAGATAACGTGCCCCATTGGCCGGTCAGTGGCCTGTCAGGCGTTACTGGGAAAGTTCCTTGTAATCGCACAGTGGCCCATTTGTGGGACGATTCATCATGACCAATCAGAGAAGGCAGAAACATCCCAAAACAGTGCTGAGCCAATAACTACAGCCCTGTGACCCCGCCCCTCGTGGGGCGACTTCCTTATCCCTCCGTTTAGAGGCTCAGAGGAAGTACAAGGACAGCTACGAGTCTCTGCAGGAGGAGTCAGTCTCGGAGACGGCGGACAACTCGGGCGAGGAGGCCGCAGAAGCGGTGGCAGGGGAGGTCACGGACGGTGGCGAGGATGACTTCGAGGACGAAGGCGGCAGCGATATGGTGATAAGACGGGCACAGAACCGTTGACAAAGGGCTGGTGCGAGAGTGCAGAAAGCATTGGATTCAGTTTACAGTATATTTATACAGTGCCTTTCACAGCAGAGTGGGCCCAAGGTGCTTTACATGGGTGTGTTGTGATAGATTACATCATCATACACTCAGAATAATACAAAAACTGGGTATTATATACTGTTAAAAGGATTTCTGCAGGCCTCCCTGACTCTGAGCACTTTGGTAAAGTCTGGAGTGTTTTTACTTGTGTTTCAGATAGAGAACCACGCGTCAGACATCGACAACTGAGGTAAGGGTTCTCTAAATGTCAGGCTTTGAGTGACAGTGACCCGTGGTATTGAGTCTCCTTATTGTTATCTGTGCGTCATACACTGAGATGAAATCTGAGTGCAAGAAAAACTGTAAATTGAATATGAATATGAAAATAAAAGGAATTTTGAACACTGACAATCTGACGGCGTAAACTTGACATACTGACACAAACCGAATTGACCTGCAGCGGATGTTTGTCTAATTAAGAATATTCAGGTTGTTTTTGCCGTGCCAGTATATACGAGGTCACCTGATTCCACGACAGACAGAGGTGCTATAACAGCTGTGATTTAATGCCTTTTCATCTGAAGTAAAAAGGAACGTACAGCTCCTGCTGACTGATGGCCTGTCCTTCCCCGATTGGCAGTAATCGCTTTGATTTTCACTTCTCCTTGACCGAGAAGAAAAATCTATTACTTCGCTCTCATTCTAGCGAAGGGTGGGTCTTTGCTGAGATTCCCGCCGCACTGTGCCGCTGATGACAACACGGGGATTATTCTGAGCGCCCGAAAGTGCCCCCGTCAAGGGGGGAGGCAGCTCGCTCGCTGATAAGCTGTTAAATGTCACTGGCTCTTTTTGATTCGTTCGGTCGCTTATATGTGTTTATCATATAGAAAAAGCGAGAGCTACATTCCCCTTAGATATTTCCCTGCTGTGGATCAGGGGTCAGTCGCTGCCAGCGTGCTGCTTTTTAATAAGCCAGTTTTCGGCTACATCGATCTGTTTTTCCTTTTAATTCCGGCAACTTGGCCTTTTGAACACCAGACTTTTTTTGTTTTTTTTCGCCGTATGTGTCTGGTTATGGTGGTAATACGGAGTCGTACTTCAGAAGCGATTGTTCCTACTGGAAAGCTGCAGAATAATCGTACCATTAAGGTGGTCCCACGAAGCAGGTGAAACGTGACTGGAAGATTCTTATTTAAACATGTGAGAATGTAAGATTCCTTAATTATTCCTCTGAAATTATTTCCTTGTGATAGACTAATATAATTACCACACCGAGACCATTATCCAAATTAGTATAAATAATTGGTAGAGGGAAGTTTAGCTTTTGGTTTACTGTGGGCGACATGTTAAAGACAAAAGACAAAAGAGATATATAACACTTACAAAAGTCACCATAACATGCCATTAAACTGGCCAATTTCTGGTGCATAGGGACCTGGAATCCCATTAATACCTAGAGAATAACCTCTTCCATTAGTTCTTGAAAATGACTTTTGGATTTATTGAAATAAATGCAGATGAGACAGACTGATTCTCAGTGGTGAAGGATGGGATCGGTTTTCACATACACATTGTTAAAATCTTATCTAGCTCTGATTTAAAAGAACTCAGGGTTTTAAGCTTGCGCTACACTAACAGGAAGACTATTCCATACTCTAACTACACGCTGTGTACAGAAGTGCTTTCTCAAATTCAGTTTAAAATGTTCTCCCGCTAATTTCCACCTATGGCCACGAGTTCTTGTATTTGACCTAATATTGAAATGACTATTTGGTTGGACAGCATCCAGACCTGTAGGGAATATTACCTGGATCATGTCCCCCCCATTACTCCACTGTCTTATTTACAGGACTTGTTAACTGAGGGTCAGCACTGGCTGTTGGAGAAGGATATGACAGGACTTATTGCAGAACGACTCCACGATGTCCGAGGAACAGGACAAAAACAGAACTACCCGTTCACTGCCCCCCCCCCTGCGTCGACAGCCCCATACCGGACTGCACATCCAACTTCCAGAAAGAACTTGGTGTAATCAGGTGTCGTGAGCAACTGGTGCTGTGTTCAGTAATAGTGTTCATCTATGTTAGTGTTTCAGTCTGAAGAAGCTTCTGGAATTTGCCTGTCAACATTGGTTCTGCGAATATTTTTGGAAGAAAATCAGAATGTGGAGTTTAATTATTTTCCGTTATTTTGAAAATTCACAAAGCCATCTGAAGTCTATATTTTGCTGTTGTTAATTCCATTTAATGGTGACGTACATTGTCATTGTTTGTACATGATTTGCCACCTCAATAAAATGGTATGTATTATACAAATGTGAAAGTAAAAATAAATAAATGCAGTCTGGAAGTCCAACGCTGATCAGAAGCCGAGGCGAAGCGGGGGAGATGGCGAAAGTGACGGATGCACGCCGTCGCTGTGACATTCACCAGCATTGCTCGTTCCTGATTGGATGCAGTGAAACTGCGACAAATAAAAAATGAAGTCGGTGCATTGACTCATTAATTTAAACATATTCAAAGGGCCAGGTCTGCAAAAAGGTTACAAAACAAAATTGATGCCTGTTTGCCGTCCTTGACGTGCATGTGTGAGAGAAAATGAAAGCATTGTAGTTATCATTAATCTCTGTTTATCCACCTACAGAAAGGACAAAAGTATTATTGATGAGAACACAAATTTAGGCCGGGATTTTCTCTGTGCTCCGTGAGTTATGTGTGGCTCTTAACATCTCAACATTCTTTATATCTTTATTAAATCCTTTGGTTGACCATATAACAAACACACATTCTCAGAGACATCACCACTGCCAGCTGTGAGGAGATGATTAGAGATAAGCCCCGCCCCCAGTCGTTTACCACCAATCATCTGGCCACATTGACACCCTCTATAACCATGATTACTCCATTGCTCCAATGGGGGCAGTTTGTGGTTCAACAGGTTTGGATTCTGTCTGTAATCATAAGGCTGCCAGTTCAAATGCCAAGTCCAGCAGAGTGACTTCCCTGCTGCCCCCCCTTTAACCCCAATTGCTCCAGGGACTGACAAACCCTGCTTTTTGGGGGCTAAATGAGTAAAATGTAATGCTTCAGTGAAAACTTACCAGTGATTATCAAACCCAGATTTTGGGAGCTGGGAAGAAGCAGAAACATGGGACCCCAAGAACCGCGTTGGGAAGCACTGCTATAGACCAGCCTGAATTGTGTGTTTGACTGCGAGATGAGACCAGCACACATCTTTCACCATTAACGACAACTCGATTCATTTCCTTTGTTTCACGTCGATAATAACTGCCCCATTAGCCTAGTTTTCTTTAAAGAGCCCCACAAATGTATTTGTGAAGGCTGAGAATGATACTTTTGGTTCTTTATTTTTATATAGCGAAACCTTGTACCTTTGGACACAAGTGTGCTGGTGGATCTACCCCAGAACATTCCTGTTTGGTATTACGCTATAGAGCAGTATTTCCCAGTCCAGTCCTCAAGGACCCCTAGTCAGTCCACATTTTTGCTCCCTTCCAGCTCCTGGAAGGAAGCAAAAATGTGGACTGTCTGACAGGGAGCTGGGAGGGAGCAAAAATGTGGACTGTCTGGCAGGGAGCTGGGAGGGAGCAAAAATGTGGACTGTCTGGCAGGGAGCTGGGAGGGAGCAAAAATGTGGACTGTCTGGCAGGGAGCTGGAAGGAAGCAAAAATGTGGACTGTCTGGCAGGGAGCTGGAAGGAAGCAAAAATGTGGACTGTCTGGCAGGGAGCTGGGAGGGAGCAAAAATGTGGACTGGTTGGGGAAACACTGCTCTGGAGCAAAATTCATGGTTAAAAGATAATGTATAAACAGAGTGAATATTTCAAACATATGTATGTGTCAGCTATGGTAATGATGTATGTTTTTTAACAGTAATACATATAGTACAATACAAGTTTTAATGTTTATTTTCATTTATTTATGCAGATTTTTTTTGCCAATGCTTATAGAAATACAGAAACATATTCAGATACCATTCAGCAAATAATTCATGACAAAGGGATTTAAAACCAGTAATACATTTCCAGCATTTTTCCGAAATACACTTGTACAGAAATGTAAACATTTTGTAAAGCTATTTTTATGATAAGCATGTTGTTAATTGTTGCTATAATGCATTTTTATTTACATTTGTTGTATGGTTATTGATTCAGTTACATAGGAAATAGGATGAAATAAATTGTCATAATGCATATTCTGGCCTTTCTTATTATATACCATCATGTCCAAAAAAATTTTTCTCTTTACAAATACAAGAATGTGATAGATTCTATTAGAGCGACCAAAGACCAACTGCAAGATGTGTGAGTGAATGGTGTGTGAGTGTGCCCTGCAATGGGCTGGCCCCCCATCCAGGGTTATTCCCTGCCTCGTGCCCATTGCTTCCGGGATAGGCTCCGGACCCCCTGCGACCCAGTAGGATAAGCGGGTTGGACAATGGATGGATAGATGGATCAAACATTTGAGGACAAACGTGGAAATGCAGACTGGCAGGCTTAGAACCAAAACTGGGTCGGTCAAAAAAAACGTTTTTAAATCTAAATAATATGTCTTTGTGCAATGTGTTATGAGCCACGATATTCTACAGCAGTGATTTTCAGCCCGGAGTCCTCGGGGGACCCCAGACAGCCCACATTTTTGCTGTACCAGGTATTCAGTGGTCTGGATTGTTTGGTTCATGTGTGCTTAAGGGCTGGGAGGGAGCTAAAATGTGGACTATCTGGGGTTTGAGAAACACTGATCCACAGCAATAAATGAACCCCATTAGACCAAGTGCCGTAGAAGTATCGTGGAGTCGGGCAGAGGAAAGCTGAGTTCCGCGATTCTCCACATTAAAAAAAATGCTTACAGACTTAATGCATCTTTAATATCCCACAGTTATAATTGTGATGGGGACTGCAATGTGAATCACAGCATGTGTACATGGAGAACAAACAGCGTAATGAACAAGCTTCATAATACGAACAAATTACTCTCAATCTTGGCTAGCATGAATCCTCTTTCAGTGTTGTAGTTACACCAACGTGGACCGATTTGTCTTTGTTAAACCAGAGTAAAACAGATGACTTGGTGTGGACATGACATTTATACTCCATGCAGTGTTTCAATTTAATTTATATATTACAGGGAAATATGCATTTTATCAATGTATGTAAGAGAACGTCTTCTTATTCCATAGTGATTTAAGTCTTTGTTAGATGAGAAATTGCGGGCAGAAGCGGGTTGGGTGATATCGTTACATTCAATCTCTATTACTGACCTTGTACAGCTGTCATTAACGACAGCTGACAGTGTTTAGCAGAGGTGTAGAAAGTCCGTCCCCAGAACAGGACTACAGAAAGGCAGTGTAGCGGCAACAGATGGCGGAGCTAATTTGCCCAATTAATCAGCACCAGAATATAATGTTCTAAGGTTAATGAGGGCCAGTGGCTGCACTGGAGGTAATTGGCTAAATCGATTTTGTCTGAAAGCCAAGATTGCAAAACCAATCATGCAGCTGTTCTAGTATAGCCAATATTTTATGCCATGTGGCAAATATAAATCCTGATTGTGTATCGTAGATTTAAATTACTATCACAATGACGAGCAAATATGAAGAACATAATTGTGCTGAGAATTTTTTAATGAATGGCCTTTGCAAACTTGTTTTAAAGGATCAAACATAATTTATGTGATCGCCGATCCGTCAGACAAGTTAAATACCTTTTAGTCTGTCATCCGGTGACACAAGTAACCTCTCCACTCCTGTTGGTTAACTAGTATCCTTCCTGACTGGTTAATTTCTTACACAGTGTGCCAAGCTGCACACGTTACCGAAAAGTAAAATTAAAATGAAATAGGACAAGGAGAATTGTATATAGCCATGGAAAAAATGTACTGTAACAGTAAATGTAACAAAAAACATTTGTTTTGTTTCTTTTTCTACTGTGTTTTCAGTATTACTGCATTATATACGCTATCTGGACAAAATGTTGGGACATCTGGCCGTCACACCTACAGGAACTTTTATGACGTCCCATTCTAAATCCATAGGCATCAATCCGGTGTTGGTCCCCCCTCTGCAGCTATAACAGCTGCCAGTCTTCTGGGAAGGCTTCCCACAAGATATTGGAGTGTTTCTGTGGAAATATTTGCTCATTCATCCGTAAGAGTATTTGTGAGCTCAGGCACTGATGTTGGATGTGAAGTCCTGGCTCTCGATATCTATTCTAAGTTCATCCCAAAGATGTTTGATGAGGTTGAGGTCAGGGGTCTGTGGGGACCGGTCAAGTTCTTTTACACCAAAATCACCCAACCATGTCTATATGGACCTTGGTTTGTACACTAGGGCACAATCATGCTGGAACAGAAAAGAGCCTTCCCCAAACTGCTCCCACAAAGTTTTAAGCATAAAATTGTCCATAATGTCTTGATATGCTAAAGAATTAAAAGTTTCCTTCACTGGAACTAAGGGGGCTAACCCGACCCCTGAAAAACAACCGCATTCCATTATCTCTCCTCCACCAAACCTATACAGTTGGCAGAAGGCAGTCAGGCAGGTAATGTTCTCCTGGCATCTGCCAAACCCAGACTCGTCCATCAGACTACATCACTCTACAGCAGTGTTTCTCAAATCAGTCCTGAGACATCCCCAGGCATTCCACGTTTTTGCTCTGAATTCCCTGGGCGTCTCCAAGGGCTGGGGGGGGGGGGTGTCCCCGAGGACTGCTCTGAGAAACACTGCTCTACAAACATGTTTCTACTGCTCCAGAGTCCAGTGGCGGCGTACTTTACACCACGCCATCCGACGCTTGGCATTGTGATGTGAGGCTTACATGTAGGTGTTCAGCTATGGAAACCCATTCCTTAAATAAAGCTCAACAGTGCAGTTTTTCTGGTGGAGTTAATGCCAGAGGAAGTTTGGAACTCTGCAATTACTGAATCATCCAGAGTGTTGGTGACTTTTACGCACCATGCACCTCAGCACTCGGCGACCCCACTCTGTTACTTTATGTGGTTTCCCACTTTGTGGCTGAATTTCTGTTGTTCCTAAACGCTTCCACCTTGCAATGATACCACTTACAGTTGACTGTGGAATATCTAGCAGGGAAGACATTTCATGAACTGATTTATTGCAAAGGTGGCATCCTATGACAGCACCACACTTGAATTCACTGAGCTCTTCAGAGTGACCCATTCTTTCACAAATAAACCTGACTGCATTGCCAGGTGCTTGATTTTATACACCTTTGGTAATGAATGAAACACCTGAATTCAATGATTAAACGGTGTGTCCCAATACTTTTGTCTATATAGTGTATGTACACATACCGATCAGCCAATATATTAAAACCACCTGCCTAATAAGAACATAAGAACATAAGAAATTTACAAACGAGAGGAGGCCATTCGGCCCATCAAGCTCGTTTGGGGAGAACTTAACTAATAGCTCAGAGTTGTTAAAATCTTATCTAGCTCTGATTTAAAGGAACCCAGGGTTTTAGCTTCCACTACACTAGCAGGAAGACTATTCCATACTCTAACTACACGCTGTGTAAAGAAGTGCTTCCTCAAATTTGTTTTAAAATGTTCTCCCGCTAATTTCCACTTATGGCCACGAGTTCTAGTATTTAGACTAATGTTCTGGAAGTGACCCTACTGCCACCAAAACAGTCTTACCCATAAAGGCATGGACTCCACAAGACCTCTGAAGGTGTCCTGTGGCATCTGGCACCAAGATGTTAACAGCAGATCCTTCAAGTCCTGTAAGCTGCGATGTGGGGACTCCATGGGCTTATTTGTCCAGCACGTCCCAGAGATGCTTGATTGGATTGCAATCTCAGGAAGTTGGAGGCCAAGTCAACACCTTGAACTCTTTTTCATGTTACTGAACCATTCCTGAAGAGTATTTGCAGTGTGGCAGGGCGCATTATCCTGCTGATTGTGACCATGGCCATTGCAGAATACCATTGCCATGAAGGGGTGTACTTGGTCTGCAACAATGTTTAGGTAGGTGGTACATGTCAAAGTTACAGCCACAAAAACGCCAGGACCCCAAGATTCCAAGCAGAACATTACGCAAAGCATTTCACTACTTCCACTGGCTTGCTTTCATCCCGTAGTGCGGAGTTCCCCAATTCCGGTCCTGGAAGGCCAGAATTCAACACAGTTTACAGATTTCTCTGTTCAACCACACTTACTAAACCTGGTACTTAGCTGATTATGGTGTGTTGAGTTGGGAAACCGGCAAAGACCGGAATTGGAGAACCCTGCCATACTTCATCCTAGTGCCATCTCTTCCCCAGGTAAATTATGCTCATATACCAGACCATTAGCATGATGTAACAGAAAACATGACTCATCAGACCAGGCCACCTTCTTCCATCGCTCCATGGTCCAGTTCTGATGCTCACATGCCTACTTAAAGCCCTTTTGGTGGCGGACAGGGGTCAGCATGGACACTGACCGGTTTGCAGCTACGCAGCCCAATACGCAGCAAACTGTGATGCACTGTGTGATCTGACCCCTTTCTAACCAGCATTTACCTTTTCAGTAATATGTGATACAGCAGCTTTCTTGTGGGATCAGTGAGCCTTGGGCGCCCATGACCTCGTTGTTGGTTTACCAGTTGACTTCAATGGACCACTTTATACATGGTACTGACCACTACATACTGAGAACACCGGATAAGACCTGCCATTTTGGAGATGACCTGACTCAGTTGTCTAACCATCACAGTTTGGCTCTTGTGAAAGTTGCTCAGATCCTTACACTTGCACATTTTTCCTGCTTCCAACTTTAAGAACTCACTGTCAATGTACATCACTGCCTAATGTATAATGGCACCTTTAACAGATGCCTTTATAACAAGATAAACACAATATAATTCACTTCACTTATTAGTATTAGTGCTGTTTGGTTTTAATGTTATGGCTTATCCGTGTATATGTATGTGTGTGTGTGTGTGTGTGTGTGTGTGTGTGTGTGTATATATATATATATATATATGTATGTGTGTATGTATGTATTACCGGTATCCTTGGTAACGCACAGCCGCGTCCATATAACCAGAAGTTGGTGGGCGGGTCTGTGACGTCACCGGAAGCCAGCAGTCATGGCGGCTGGTTTGAGTGTCCGAGCTGAGCGGTTCTTCACGGCGCGATACTTGTCTTCCCTGTAGACCCGGTACCGGCGCTTACTCCTTGTTAGATTTTAAATTCACGTCTCTTGTATTATAAAGATAGCAAAAGAAAAAATAAAAATCGTTTGGATGTCTATGGACAGCTGGTAGTAGGTAGCCTAGCTAGCTAGCATACGGCTCTTTTCAATGACTTTGTTTTGAATGTTGTTATAACGTTGTGGGTGCGTTACTGCAAAACCTTACACCTAATAACAGTATGTAGAGTAAATTACCATATAAATGTACCTTATAAATGTACCATTTAAATGACGAATACGATGCGTCGTTACGTAATTCTGTGGCTCGGCTGTATTGTAAAAATAAACTTATGTGCTTTCTCAACCGAAACGCTTCAAATTAAATTTTCCCTGGGTGACATTATAAGCTATCAAAGCCACGACTGTACCAGCCCTTAAAATTCGCGGACGATGGCGGATGGGGAGCTTAGTCTGATTGACAAGAACATAAGAAGGTAACCGCTGGAACTCAATTACTCTCGCTTCCCTAAGTCAATGTATGGTTGCATGTAAGGCGAAGTTTAAGTGAAATTACTTTTCAACGTATCCGCTTCTTTCATTTTATCTCCGTAGCTTATTGGAAATCCCGCTTAGTTCGAAGGTCAGATCTCTAAACCTTCACTGCAACCGCATCTCTAAGATCGAGGGGCTGACTTCTGCTTGGCATATACGGCAGTTGGACCTGTCCTCTAACCAGATCAGCCGCATCCAGGGGCTGTGCTCCTTAACCTCCCTGCAGAGCCTCAACCTCTCCTGCAACGTCATATCCAGGGTCGAAGGCCAGTGTCCTGACTTCTCTTTTTTTCCATGACTCTCCTATGGTTTTTTTTTTCTTGAATTTTTAACAGTTCTTTCCTCTAGGACTCCAAGGGCTTGTGAACTTGGTGAAGCTGGACTTGTCATATAATCAGATAGGTGACTTATCTGGTAAGTGGATGCTTTTGTATTACAGTGTGATTTTTAACATTATGGGGTGCTGTTTATAGGTAAAAATTCTGTAGTGCTTAGGCAGGCATGCGTGTCTGCTTAAAGAGATATAGAGCGCCGGAAGATCATTTTCTAATGTGTGCAGGTTTACTTCACCTCCATGGGACGCAATACAAACTGAAGCACCTTCGCCTGCAAAGCAATCATGTGAGCAGCATGAGCCAGGTGCTGCAATGCCTGCTGGGATTGCCGAGTCTAAGCAGCGTGGCCTTCAGCGCCGACGGTAGTGGGAATCCGGTCTGTGATGTTCCGGGTAGGTGGTAATTCAGTTGAGCTTCTTTGGTTTAGATGTTTCTATCCTTTATTTTATCATCTATTTTATTATTCTGTGTTGTTACTGATCGGTTTCTTTCAAAAAGGATATCATAGAATAGAAGGCGGACATGGTCCTCACTTCCTCTCCTACTTTACAAAACGTTGCTCATCTGTTGGTCCCTCCAAGGCTACAGAGACCTAATCCTGCAGTCCCTGCCGCAGCTGTCTTCCCTGGATGCAGTGGACCGGCAGGGTAACCCCTCCCCCTGTCTGGAAGAGTGTGCTGTCGATATCCCAGGGATGGAGGACTTTTCTGAGTTCCTGCTGTCAGACAGCAGCATCGCCGACGAGAGGGTAAATGTAGAATTGCCGGGACCAGGTGCAGCATGAAACGCACTCGCTGCTGGGGAAACATTAATGCTTTCGGTCCTTCTTCGCAGATGTTAACAAGGATATTCCTTAGCTGCAGATGGTCTCAATCTGGCAGATTCAGCTGAATATACGTCATTCAAATAGCATCTCCTTGTTTGTTTTTCTGGAGGATGTTCTGGTCTAAAGGATTGCAGCCCCATGCCGTCTCTTTCCCCAGCTGCATTTGGTCGATTGCAAATTGCATAACTCCCGTCGTGTTTGAGTGAATGCAAAGGGGAGGGCCTTAGGCTTTGAAATGGAGCACATTTGAATGTATCTCAGCCAGGAATTATCAGTAGTGCATGAAAGATCAGTGAACTGATACAGTCGTTTATGCAAATACATTATCGGGAAGGAGTAAAACTTCTCAAAACAGAATAAATTAGTAATGGACTTATAGGATTTTAATTAATCCTAAATTTTTCACAAGGTTATGCTTTAATGAGGTTATTTAAAAGTGCAGAAGGGAACCGGTGTACAGCACATACTTAATATCTGGTAAATCCCGAAGCGACTTAATGCGATTAGCTTGACCTGATCCTTTTAACGTCTCCGTTTGTTTGGACCCTGATCCCGTCTTTGCTTGGCGCCGTGGACAGTCAGCGTGGAGGCTGTACGCTGATCTTCTGGCTCCGTCTCGTCTTCCGCCGACCCACAGGCCGGTGCGGATGCCCCGCAGCTGACGCCATCCGTCGACGATACACTGACCAGCCTCCGCCAGCGGATGGGCATTCTAGGGGCCACCGGCGTAAGGGAGTGCACACCCTGTGGCCCCAGGAGCACGGGCCCCGGAATCTGCAGGCCGCAGGTCTCCCAGCTTTTCCCGGAGGTGTGTTGTGTCTCGGAGCAGTTCTAGGAAATCTTACTTATTAATCGTTACTTATTGCCGGTTTTATTTTTAAATATGATGATGTGCTGATCCCCCCCCCCCCCCCCCTGCCCCATCCCCCAGACTCCCAGCACCTCCACCTCCACCCCCACCCTCGTCTGTAAACCTCGCAGAGACACGGACCACACCTCTGACAGCGAGTGCGATAACAGGGAGGAGAGCTGTCCCAAGGGGGGGGGGCAGAAGTCCCGGGTCCCCGCTGGGCGAAAGGGCCCAGTGGCCCCCAGGAAGAAGAACTCTGGGGAGCTGAAGGGACAGAGGTCACACAGGTGCGCTGTGTGTGTCTGTGTGTGTGTGTGTCTGTGTGTGTGTCTGTGTGTGTGTGTGTGTTAGAGAGGAATGGAGGACTGATGCAGCATGAAATCCTTTTGTGTGTGAGATCAATTTGCTTAATTCTGCATTAAATCAACACAACATTTTATAAAAATAGGATTTAGTGAAAAGGTTTCAGTATGACAGACACCACTTCCTGTAGCCGTTTCCTCTGCATTACTGACTGACTGGCTTGTAAATTCTCTTATGTTTTTAAAGCTGACGTGAATAGTCTGCGCCCAGTGGCCACTTTAGGAAGGACACCTGCATGCAAGCAGCCTGCTCCTCCAGGCAGCCAATCATGGGCTGAATACATACAGCTCACAGACGGGGTCAAGAGGCTCACTTACTGTTCAGCTGAGGGTTACAATGGCTGAGAAGTGATTTTGAATGTGGCGTGATTGTCAGTTACTGGAGGTGGTGGTTCCAGCGTCTCAGAAACAGCCGCCTTCCTGGGATTTTCACACACTGCAGTGTGTAGGGTTTACAGAGGGTGGAGTGACGACCAAAAAACATCCAGTCTGTGGCAGTTCTGAAGCTGAAAACTGCTTGTTATACGGACAGATCGAAGGGGAGTGGCCGGATTTTTTACAGGAGGCCCCAAGTGCAGGAATAGCAGCTCGGTACTGCAGTCTTTTGTAAAACTGGCTTCTATTCATCAACCCTAGAAGCGGTTCTGGAGATTAACAGGGGTCCTACCCTGCACTAGCTAGGTGTGGCTAATGAAGTACCCCACTGGTGTCTGTGTGGTGGCCCTCATTCTCCTTCTTGGCTTTGGAGAAAAACGTGGGTGAGAGGAGAAAAAAGAAATACTCATGCAGGATTAAAGGACAGAATGGCTTATTGATCGGCGGCACTCCCGAGTTCAGATGAGGCTGCCGCTCGTCCGCGGCCCGCTCTGTACTCGTGACCCTGGGTGTGCCGACGTGGGAGGATGGGTCGTCTTTATTCTGTACCGACTGTTCTAACATACCTAGTGTCATTAACGTCATGTTCTGTACATTTTGCTTGGCTCTTATTTTGCCTACTTATTCCATTATCCATCCATCCATCCATCATACTGATTACCTAATATGAGTCCTTGGAGCCTATTTGCAGAAGCGCAGGGTACACACTGGGGTACATTCTGTACGGGATGCTGGTTTATACCTGGGAATAGACTTGGCAGACAGTGACGTTACAGACAGGATTTCAGTACTATTACTGGCTTAGAGTTGGTACGGCAAATATTGCTACTGGTTTTTTTTTTTTTGTCCTAGCACTTCAGAAAGTGCCGTCTCAGACAGCAAGTCGGCAACCTCCTCGGGAAAGAAGGCGCCCCCCTGCTCATCTTCCCAGCGCGTGGAGACGGGGAGGGCGGAGAGAGCGGGCCTGAAGGATGCAGAGTGTCTCCCAGAGGAGAGAGAGGAGGAGAGCTTCAGGGTGGGTGTGAGGCGCCGGGGATCAAGGCGTCGTCTCCCGCCGGCCCTCCGTTCCCCATTCGGCTCTCGCTGGTCTGGTCGCCGCTGCCTCGGCGCCTCATGGAGCCTTGGGAATGCCGTCACGCTGGGCCATAATCCGGCTTTTGGAAGTATTATGTACGCAGAACTGGGGGCTCTGAAAGACCAGTTTCAAGGAGCTACAGGCGCGGATTTTCCAGTGGTTTTCACATGTAAATAAAGTTATTTATGTAGAATTCCTACACTCCACTGCGGAACAGGCCGCACGCTGGCCTAGAGAGCTGTTGAACCCGGTCGTGCCGTTTGCCGGGCCCGGCTGTGCTGCCGGAGCCCGTTTACCGTGTTAATGCCGCGTACAAAGGATGCATCAGCAGCACTGAGTGCAGTAAGTCCGTGAAGGGTGCGTGCGTTCGCAGCACCTGTGCCGTGCGCGTTACGGAGCGGGGGGTGGCATTCTCGCGATGCCCGCGATCGCTCTGTCTGCAGGTGGTGGTGGAGGAGCGTGACCAGGAGCGGGAGAGGCGCTGGAAAGCAGAGCAGGCCGTCCGGAAGCTGACGGAGCAGCTGAGCAGCTTGGAGAGGAAGGCCGGCCAGGAGAGGGACATCCAGAGCATGGCGCTGCACACATCCGACCGGTGAGGCCGCCCTGCTGGTGATTAGGCGGCTTAGCCTCCGCGTCACCTTTGTGCTCTCGCTCGTGAAACCCTCAGCTGGTATTTAAAGTGACGGGCAGGTCCCCCTCCCCGTGGCCGAATCAGCTGCTGAGGCTGACGTCACGTGCCAGTCACATGACCGAGCCCGGCACTTCCTGAATCCTGCATCCAACTGTTTCAAACGTGCAGGGTTACCGAGTTACCGGTAACCAAGGAGATTCCCCGGCATTTTCCGGAAAGGAGATGTTAATTGGTGTGCTCAGTATGTACCGTCTAGTGTCCTGCCGAGGGCCGTGTGGCTCCGAACACGGGTAAACATCTTCTTTTTTTGTTTTTTTACGTGTGACTGTTTAGCAGCTTTTGCTAATCAAGGTGAGGCCACGCTGCCTGGCTCTCTCCCAAATGAAAGGATCATCGCTATCTTTGAACCGAGAGAGAGGCAGCACAGGAGATCATCTTCAGATCTGTGAGATGTGGTCAGCCAGAGATGTGGGACCCCTTCGTATAAAGCGGTGTGAATTGGCAGTGATTGTAGTTTTGTCCCTTGCAGACTTCTTTATGTATGATTTGTTTTTTTATGTCTGTCTGTAGCCAGAGGCTAGAAGGTGTAGCTGAGGATCAGAATGTTAGGTTGGAAAGCCGCCGTTAAGCGTGTAAATGGCTGACCTTCCTACTGGGGTTAGAGTAAGGAAGGGTACAAGTATCAGGGTGATGTGGCCAAAAGTGGGTGTGTGCTTGTGTAGGGAGAAATGAATGCAGTACTGATTTTGTTTGTGTGTCTGTGGGGGGGCGCTCTTTCGCGATTGACACTGTGTGTGGGTGGGTGTAGGCTGAAAGAGGTCCTCCTGAAGGAGCGTGCAGCACGAGTGGAGCTGCAGCAGCAGGTGGAGGAGCTGCGGCAGGAGCTGGCCCAAGCCCATGGGCGGGAGGACCGCCAGCAGGGGGCGCTGCGCAGCCTCCAGGACACCGCGGCCCGGGATGAAGCTCTGAGAGCCCAGCAGCGGGCTGATGAGGTGCTGCTGGGTCAAAAGTGCTAGCAGCATTAGCACTTATAAATATTATATATATATTCTAGCACTTAATATTTATGAAGTACGTGTAACTGCCAACGGTCCTGGGGGACTCCCAGACAGTCCATGTTTTTGCTCCCAAAACTGTGGACTGTCTGTCAGGGAGCTGGAAGGGAGCGAATACATGGGCTGTCTAGGGGTCCCTGAAGACCGGGTTGTGAAACACTGGCTTAGTCAAACACCGGCTCGCTGTAGAGGAGCCCGCCGCGTCGAGCCGTTTGTGAGACCTGGGATCTCCTGTGCCTGGTCAGGCGAGGAGGACCCAGGAGCTGGAGAACACGGTGTCTGCCCTGAAGAGGGAGCTGGAGATCCTACGGGCGTCTGCACGGCAGCACAAGGATAAGCTACAGCAGCTGCATGAGCTGCTGACCTCCCGTGAGCAAGAGCACAGGTACGCCTGCCGCGTGGCCCCAGGACCCGGGGAGCCCGTCTGGGCCCCGTGTGACCGGGGCCCTCGGACCTGTCTCTCCCAGGAAGGAGCTGGAGGCGCGGCTGATCCCGGGCGGCCCGGAGTTCCAGGAGGCGGTCTCGCGTGCGGTGGCCCCCGTGGAGCGGGGCCACGCCCAGCAGCTGGCTGACCTGCGGGAGAAGGTGAACGGCGCACAGGCGAGATACGGCGAGCTGGAGGACGAGTTCCGCGCGGCGCTCACCATCGAGGCTGGTCGCTTTTCCGAGGTGAGCCGACCACTAGGGGGCGCCAGCTACCACAAATCTCATTGAGTAATCCCTCACACCTGCTTCATTTCTATGAAAGGGGTGGCTACCATTGAAATGCCGCAAAGTCCTCGTCTGTGAGTGACTCTGCTCTGTGCTGCCCCCTGCAGGTGAAAACGGCCCTGGAACTCCAGGCGGCAGAGCTGGTGGAATGCAGGGCCAAACTGTCCAGGTGTCAGCAGAGGGAGCGTGAGTCCGGAGCACTGGTGCAGGAGCTCACTAGCATGGTGAAGGAGCAGAAGGCACGCATCGGCGAGCTGGTGAGATCCAAGCGGGAGGTTGTCACGGAGCTGAAGGTAGGTGGCGCTGTGTGTGTGTGGCACATAAAGGAGCCGCCGTCTGTGTGTGTGTGTGTGTGGGGGGGGGGTAATCGCTTTTCAAAACGCAGATGCTTTTGTATCGTGAGGTTCCTTCCTTCAGCAGTGACCTTCGCATCAAAGGAAGCGCAGAAGGTCACGCCGACTCCATTCACACTCTCCGGGGAATGTGGGCAGGAGAGAGCAGCCATTGTCAGCGTGAGGAGTGTGGAGATGTTCCCGTTCCCTGTCTGTGTGCCATCCTCCGCAAAAATGCACTCGTACTCTATCGAAGTGCATTTCCGATTAAATTAAGAATCATGATCCAAAACCTTTTAAACTGTGAATTAAGGTAGAATCGTGTGCATTATTTGTAGGAGAATGTTTCTGAATTTAAGAATGTGAAGATATTATATGAGATCAGTGTGTAAGTAGGTGTCTTGCTCTATCATCTGGCTGACAGGAGTGTGGTGGACGGAGGTTTTCGGCAGACTAATCGTTATCGCCCTTTAAATGGCTGTCTGCCCGGACGGGAGGTCTTCCGGTCTCTCTGAATGGCGGCCGCTCAGGTCGTCCTGGTACCGCCCTCATCACAGCCTGTCTTCCAGGCTCGCCTGCGGTCCCTGGAGGCCACGGCAGAGGAGGACAAGCGCCAGGCCGTCCAGGTGGAGCTGCTGAAGCAGGAGAAGTCCAAGCTGCTGTCCCAGCTGGCCGCCCAGGAGTCCGTCATCGAGGGCCTGCGGGCCGAGCGCAAGCTCTGGGGCCAGGAGCTGGCACAGCAGGGTAGGCGGGGCCACAGCACGATGCCGGGGAGGCTTATTGGACGAGGCTCGAAGGACCTAACCTATAGAGGAGGACCGGGAGTCTGTTACCCTGCAGCACCACCCGGTGGCCATTTTTTTTTGCACACTATCTACAGCGTGACATGAAAAATGTTGGCTGTAGGCTGTGCTTGTGTTTTAATAAAGCATTTTGAAGAAATATTTTTATGAATAATTTAGTAATTAATAAATATATATTTTTTTTTTTTACTTGAGCCTGGCAATAACTTGTGGTGATAATGAAAAATATGAGCAATTGCAGCAGTTAATTACTGTTGATGATAATTCATATTCTTAGGTAACCGAAAAGCATGTCATCAAATGACTTTATCTTTAAGGGGATCATTCTGATTGGACTCACGATCTCTCAGGCCCGGTCAGAATGGCGAGCCGGGCTCTCTCATGGTTTGTCGCCGGCCCGCCTCGGCCTGACGGTCCAGTTCTGCTTCCGCAGGGGCCTCCCTGGCCCAGGACCGGGGTCGCTTTGAAGCCCGAATTGAGGTGCTGAACGCGGAGCTTCAGAGTCTGAAGAAACAGAGCGAGAGCGACTGCACCTCACTCAGGATCAAAGCCAAGATTGTGGACGACCAGACGGAGACCATCCGCAAGCTGAAGGAGGTGCGAGCGAGAGCCCGGCCGAGATGACCTCCTATGAGCATGACGTCCTGGAGCCCCGGCCGTCCTCACGGTCGAGCGAGGAATCGGCTCCCAGCCATCACTCTCCTTCTCGCTCGCGCCCCCAGGGCCTGCAGGAGCGCGATGAGCAGACCCGGCGCCTCCGGGAGGAGACCCTGCAGGCCCAGCGGCAGTTCGAGGCGCGGCTAGAGGAGGAGACGGCTCCGCTGAGAGAGCAGAAGGAGCACCTGGATCAACTCAGCTCCCGCAAGGAGGAGCTGGAGCTGCTGCTGGAGGACAGGGAGGCCGAGCTGGAGGAGGTGAAGAGGGAGCACAGGTGAGGAGGAGATAAAGAGGGGATACCTGAATGGTGTGTTGCGTGATATGATTCTGGTCCGGAATGTTCTGTCTCATTGGATCACAGATCGCCCCTTTTCCATTAAACCCCCCCCCCCCATCCAACAGCACCATGAACAGGAAGTGGCAGGACAAGGCAGAGCTGCTGACCCGGCTGGAGTCACAGGTCAGACGCATGAAGGAGAACTTTGACATCAAGGAGAAGGTGCTCATGGAGGAGAAAGAGAGAGCCCAGCAGGAGCACAGGTAAGGTGGCCCCCGGGGACTGGGGGGGGGGGGGGGGGCATGCCGTTACACCTCCTGCTATTTAATTTACCATGTGCGCGTGTGCCTACGTGCCCAGGGCCGCGGTGGAGAAGCTGCACAGCATGGACGACGCCTTCCGCAGGCAGATGGAGGCGCTGCAGGTGTCCCACCAGGCTGAACTCCTGCAGCTCGCCGGCGACAAGCAGAAAGACGTGGAGCTGGCAAGGCAGAGGGTAACCGTGGCAACCGGCCATTTCGCCTTTAATACGGGGAAGTGGACTCCCCTGTTAATGCAGGTTAAGGTGGTGTGTCTGCAGCTTATGTTCCTCGAATAAGCAGTTAGTTTACTAGTTAGGGGTGGGGATTAATAAGGCTGCTGAAGGTCCACACTTCACCTGCTTCTCCAGGTGCTCCAGGTGGAGGAGGAGATGCGGCAGCTACTGGAAGAGACCGAGTCGAGGAGGAGGACGATGGACGAGAAGATGAGGCTGCTGACGAGTGTGCTGAAGGACTTTTAACCAGTCTGCCGTTATACTCCTTCCTCAAGGGACTGTAAACATGCCGAGCTTCTTTTATTAATGCGTATGAAACCACAGCTCGTTTTATACACGAGACAAAAAGCAATTTTAGTGAAATTTCTCCTTAAATGATCGATTTTTTTATTTATGGTTTTTAGTGTTTTCTGTACAGTGGAAAGGCAAATGCAATGCTGATACACTTTATTTCCAGTGTTCCTGTTGTAATTATTTATACGTATTTTTAAATATAACCATGTACTGCAACACGAAATTAAAATGCTTTTGGGGGAAAATGTTGGCAAAGTGCATTTGCTGTTTACTGACAGATTCTGTCTTCCTTCGAATACTAAGCTGACGTTTCAGACAATAGATTTAAGCTGTAGTCCTCCAGGTGTTTCCGTTCCAGCCTTAACAGGATCAGTCAGGTATTTTTTCAGTGCTCTACATTTATTGTAGTTTATACGGAGTTTTACTGTTTATGTAAGGAGCTGTTGTGAACAAGAAAAAAATGAAAGTCAATGGTCTCTATCAGGTCGTCTGGGATTGGGAATGTTTTGTGCTTTGTGAACTGGAAGTGTTGTGGGCTGTACGGCCAGGATGCAAAATAAAAATAAATTCTGTAATCAAAAGCAGTCTGAGGGTCAGAAAATGTTATAAAAACTTTGGTGGACATCTAAAATATATTAAAAATATATATATATATATCTGTGTGTGTGTGTGTATGTATAAAAATGGGTTCGTAAGAAACAAAAACTTACGGTCTTTGTTCGGAAGTCGAAGTAAAGTTTATCCCAGGCTGATCCTCTCAAGTTTCCCCATGCAAACTAATTACGGGCTTCAGCCAAAGATGTGCGAAGGTCCGTGGGCAGGAGGCAGGTGCGCCGGTCGCCTTGGCGACGGTAATCCGACGTCACTTCCTGCGATTTAAAAACCTCGCACGGGGGCCGGTGGGGTGGCCGAGGTGCGGGTCCGGTCCTTTCTGGATGGGATCACGGTGAGCGGTGTATAGGTGAGAGGAGGCGACGTGAGGTGGCCCTCGCCGTCATGGCCGGAGCTCTGAGCTGCGTTCCGGTCGGGACGAGTCGCCATGAGAAAAGTTTGGGTCTGCTCACCATCAAGTTCGTGTCGCTGCTGCAGGAGGCGGAGGACGGCGTGCTGGACCTCAAAGCGGTGCGTCCCGGCTTTCCACACCTTCCTCTATGAGCGCTTCTCCCAGACAAAGAATCCGACCCGTTTCAGCACCGATAACGTAAACCGTGCATGGAGTTCGGGCGCCGTTTTCTGCTTGTTCGAATATGAAATCACATTTTCTGCCGCGTTCAGTAAAGGTGTGGAACTGCTCTTGCGCTTCCAGCCCGGATAATGCTGATGTTTCCAGGTTTAGAAATGGGTGTGTTACAGCGGCGTTTTCATACCTGCCTTATACTAAAGCTGCAAACACAGTTCGCAGAATGGCGATGCCGTTTTCCTTTTTTGTTTCGTTAAACTTGCAATATTTAATGGTTGTCTATTTAACATGATTTTACATGGGTCTCCAGAAGCTCAGCAGCTGCTTCTGCTCCAGCGGGACCCTATGCTTCAGAAAACGCACATTTCGCAGACTCGTGTATTCTGACACGTGGTGCACAAAGTGTTCTTCATTGGGGTTTTGTTTAAGGTGGCCTCCCCGGTGCGATTTCGTAACTGAATTTCCTCATAGTTTTGTGAGTTGAAGGACCCGCCTCCATTCAGAGCCCCGATCGAAGTGGCCGGTCTTTGTTTTGACAGGCTGCCGATATCCTGGCGGTGAGGCAGAAGAGGAGGATTTATGACATCACCAATGTTCTCGAGGGAGTCGGACTCATTGAGAAGAAGACCAAGAATATTATCCAGTGGAAGTAAGGCACTGGGGGTGAAAGGTTACTTTGGGAATGCGTACCTCCCAGGTCATAGGTCTTCACTGATACTGTAAACGAATCCTTCCAATTTTGGATTTTCTCATCCTGCTCTTCCAGGGGTGAAAACTCTGGTTGCCACACCAAAGAAGCCCTGGACCAGGTCGAGCTTCTGAGGGCTCAGATTTCGGAGCTGGTCCTGAAAGAGGAGGAACTTGACAGTCAGAAATCATGGCTGCAGCAGAGCATCAACTACCTGAGTGACGATCCTGTGGATAGCAAATATCCTTCTGAGGGGGTTGGGGCTCCTGGTGTCTTGGCCCATAAGGGCACCAGCTTCTTGGGCCTTGATGAGAATGATAGGTGATGCAGTACCTCTGAATAGTGTCCTACAATTTAATTACTCAATCTGCATGAATGGATAATGACGTAATAGACCATTTTGATGAGAAAAGGATTTTGCTTTCTAATGTAAACAGTGCATCTTTGGATATTAACTGTGTTCAAACATGACAGCAGAGGGGGGTGTGGGTATAAGCCCCCCTGTTTACCTCATCTACCCTAGACCAATATTTGGCTCAGAGGAACGCTGGCAGTTTCCTTAACATTGCTCACATTTAAATACGTCACTCATGAGGACATCTGCAACGCCTTTAACGGTAAGTACACTTCAAGATGTTCAGCTCCCTGGTCCACGTGCTTTCCCATCCGCCGTTAAAGCATCTGCCCCTTGTGGTATTCTTTAGAGAGCAGTGCCGGCTGATTTAAACACCAAGACTCAGTCGAAAGATATGCCCCTTGCATGTGTCTCTAATGTGGCAGGAAGTTAATATTCAGAAGAATCAATGTTTCTGTTATCAGAACCTTCATCACCATGGAGACCCAAATAAGGTCCCCTGCAGGCCTGGAAGTCTAGATCATGACATGTTAGAAAAGTCTACGATTGATTTTTTTTCATTTTTTATTTTTTTTCTTCCATACCTTTGGTTATGTTGAGAACTTCCTGCGTGATCTTGTTTAGCTGTAGTAAAATCTCTTTAAGCCATTGTCTTGTGTGGGACAGGGGACAACTTGCTGGCTGTCATTGCTCCATCTGGGACACAGTTGGAGGTCCCCATGCCAGAGATGGTATGTTGCAGTTCGTTCCAAATTGTCGTTCAGCAGATGGTCATGGTCTCTGGAGAGTCTCGCTGAAATACACTTTCTGCTGTGTGTGTGTGTGTGTGCATTACTTTCCTCTGGTTTAATTTTGCAACCAGACCTCTACAAGTACAGTGATTCTGAAAGTCCCTGAGAAACAGCAGCCGTTTTTTTTTATAATTGACATAACAGAATTTTCCAGAATGAATTTCAGATGTCCTGACACGAATGGTTGTGTTGCCTCAGGGTCATAATGGCCAAAAGAAGTATCAGGTGAACCTGCGCAGTTCATCGGCGCCCATCCATGTCTTGCTGATCAACCGTGAGACGAGCTCCTCCAAGCCTGTGGTCTTCTCTGTCCCCCCCCCCGACGACATCTCCGCTGTTCCCACCCCTCCCGACACCCCGGCCAGCTTGCCGAAATCTTCGGTGGATCTACGTACGCCGTCTGACCGCAAGGTCTCTCTGGCGGACCCCCAGCTCACAAGTGCCCCCGCAGCCGACGTGCATATCGGTGAGCGAGAAGACCCCTCTGGGAGGGTGGCGTGTGGCTCAGCGGGTTAGGACACCATGCCTATAATCAGAAGGTCATCAGTTCAAATCCCAGAGTCAGCAGAGCAATTTCACCTTTGGGCCCCTGAGCAAATCCCTTAACCCTCAGTTGCTCCAGGGACTGTCTTAGCCTGTTTTCTCGAAAATGTACGTTGCTTTGCATTGAAGCATTTGCTAAAAAAAAAAAAAAAAAATCCCTTGTCATATTACTGACCTTTGACCCTGAGGTCGTTGGCCTCACATTAACGATTCAGTAGGACAGTTTTTTACAGAAGACTTAGCTTGGCTGACTCCTAATGTTCTGAGTAGTGGCTCTGATGGTTGTGTTCAGTCCCCTTTTCACAATCCTGACATGTTCATGCTACCCAGACTGCACCCCCCAGTCTCCTGTATACCCACTGATGCCCGAACCCATGACCTGTGCTGGGGTTGTTACAGAGACTGGTAAGGATAAACGCCTATGTTTGTCTAAGCTCGGGGGCCGTGAGGAGCTCTTTAGTGTGGGGGGGGGGGGGGGGGGTTGGCTTTGAGTTCAGTGTGCATATGTAATTACTGTGCTTGCCCTGCAGGGGTCGCCGACCTGATTGATGAGTTAATGTCTTTAGATGGTGGGTCCAGTTCTTCCTGTCCTTCAGCGTCTTGTCCCTGTCTTTTATAATTCGTTCTCCTCGCGATCGTTCCCTACGTTCACGACCTTTGACCTTTTTTCCTCACGCAGTGTTTCCCTTGCTGCGGCTGTCTCCCGCGCCGACCGCGGATTACAACTTCAACCTGGATGACAACGAGGGCGTCTGCGATCTGTTCGACGTTCAGATTCTTAACTACTGAGATGAACTGTGACAGAAGCTACCGTCAGCCTACCTCTGGCTCTCCCAGCATCCCTCTCTACCCCCCCCCCCCCCCCCATTTTCTCTGCCTTAATGCCGCTGTTCCTGCCCCCAAAGCCTGGTGTCACTGCCATGTATGTATCCTAACAACCCCAGTGCTGAGATGAATGAAATTCATTCAACTTGCTTAAAAGTTGGTTTAAAAGTGCCTAAGTGCTCAGGTAGCCCCAAACCTGAGGGTGGACCTTGGCTCCCTCCCTGCTACCTGGAGGGGGTGTCTTGGTCAGTCTGGTTACTATGGCTTCAATTTATCGCTCTGTACTCCTGGCCCCCTCGTCCTCACAGCCCTGTAATCAGGCTGCGGACTGTGCTTGGCACAGACTGGTAATTACCGAAACCAAAATGCTGGGAGCATAATATCGCACTGAATCCATTTCGCCAACCTCAGGGCTCTTGTTACAGTAACAGGGTGAAAAGCCTTAAGCTATAAGGCTGCTCTTGCAGGAATGCAGGAAACCCAGATCCGAAGGTCCTCTGGAAGTGCTGGTTTGTTGTTTTTTTTTTTGTTTTTTGTTGAATACCAGCTCATATTTTCTGGAGCTGTTTGAACATTAACTCTAAGCTTGGAACCCTAACCCTGTGTTCCGCGTGGTTTAACCTGACCAGTGTTCCCTGCGCGATATCAGCCATTGTGAGTCAGTAGAGCAGCTTCCCGTGGTGCAGGAAGACCCACTGATCTGATTTGTAGTAAACATCAATGTTCTTCCTTAACCAAATGTTGACACTGCCCTATTTCATACCTTATTTTAACAAATGAACATACTTCCGCTTGCTTACTTAAGTGTAGTTTCTGTCTGTTTAGCCTTGCTTTGCCTTGCAATGATGTGTCTGTAAATTCACTGACCAGAATGGTGCCTTTTTTCCCCAACACTTCAATTTAAGTCCCCCCCCCCCCACAATTGTATTTGCACATTTTTCTGTTGAACCAAAGTTTAATATAAAAAGCGTTCTGCTGACTCTGCTGTTGGTGTCTCTCTGTGCTGAAAGACCTTCTGCTGGTCGCCCCGTTCTGTCAAAGCCTCTGTCAGCCGTCGCCTGTACACCCGCTCTGTGGAGCGCGCAGTTTCCAGAGCGTGCCAACTGCCATGAGAAATGACTGCAAATTCATGGACCCACCGCATGGGAACCGAAACCTGCACTTTCAAGACTCCGCTGATTTGTAAACGGCTCCTGGAAACCATTCCGGTTAAAAGTAGCATTCGCGAAATTCCCAGAGCTGGGAGAAGGTGCGGCTCTGAAGAAGCACACCCTCCGGCAGTTGGTGTGTGTGAGCCTGTCTGCCGGGCTTGGCAGCCGTCGCTGGCCTGCTTTACCCCTTTAATAAGGCACCTGCCGTATGAGCTCGTCCCCGTTAACGTACGTGCCAGTTGCCGCTCCTGTGCCACACTGCGGCCATAAACAATTTTGCTGGTCCTTGGAAAATTCCCCTCAGCATTTAATTTAAGGGTTTAATAAAATGTCTTTCCACTTTTATTCTACCTTAATAATCCCTTTCAGTAATTTAAAGACCACTTATATGCATTGATCCTAATTTAGAAAAATTCAAATTCTGGATACCGGTAGTCTGTAGGTTACGAACGAGATCCGCTTCATAATTATATCTTTAAATCGTATTTATGGGTTAGTCTGAACAATAATAATACAAAACACAATGTAGTACGTAATAATAACGCCGTAATATGAAAGTAACTACATACGTACGGAGTAGTAGGCCTACTGTACTTCGAGAAGACGAAGCTGTGCAATGTTTTCATGAGCATCACGGAATAATGCGTGCGTTCCTTATTACGAGCAATTGTATTTAACCCTAATTTTTAATATAATCTGCTTTATGGCAGTCTGTTCGTAAGTAGGAGTTGTGCGTCTGTCGACTTTTCTTATCCCGGGGACTGCTTGTATTCAAAGTCTCAGGGTGAAATGTCCAAACTGGTTCTATTTATATTAACAAAACAACTGTTTTTGTTGACTGGGATATACATCAGAAGTCATCACAATACGCTTTTACTATAATATGTTGTCAGGTATTTGTTTTTTGTTGTTGTTGCTTTTGTATTGGCCAACAAAAGGTTCTGTTATTCCAATTACAGCATCAGCCCTCCTGAACAGTCATCACTGTTTGTGAGAAGTTGACGTGGTATTTCAGGGTGTGTGTGACAGACTGGTTTGACTTGAAGTCGTACAGCCCTGGGGGGGGACACTGCAAAAAAGCTCATCCTTCTCCCGCTCAAATGTAAACAGGTTTCATGCTACTGTACCTCACCTGCGAATTAGTTCAAGAAGTACTGGAAAGCGTGTGGATGCTCTTCATGTCCCGAATAGTTTTATACAGCATAAGCCAGATTCTAAAATACAGAAACGATTTATTTACGATCTTTTCCTCTTGATACAACAAATTAATTTCCGCATGATGTCGCTACTGAGCTGTTTTTTTCCAGGATTCCTCTCGTGTTACTAGTTTGTTAATATATTTACACTTTAATAGGTAAAAAATATACCCTCAATATAATGGAGGGCGGGAAAACCTCAGGAAACTCAGACTGGCATCAGGAAACTAAAATTTAAATTTAATTTCACAAGCTTGAACAAAACATTGTACTATTAAATAAAATACAAAAATATACAAATTTATTATCAATAATAAAACATCTGGTCTGACAGCTGGTTTTCTGCACAACATTTAGGCTACTCTGAAGAATATAGTGAGAATCAAACTTAATCTCATATTCAAATACAAATATGTAAAGGCTTGCATCAGCTAGCCATTAGTTTTGTCCAAAGTTTATTACCGCATATAATTTTGTTTTCATGTCCACAGCAACTTGCAGAAGGTGTGTACATTTTCATTTTGCGATCAATGTACGAATTTATGGTGCAAACAAATGTAATGGTCCACATTTTGGTCGCCATAATACAATTTTGGAAAAATGCTGAAAAAAAATGTGACCCGGAAAGGTGATTAGAAATGGGATTTAGCAAGCAAATGTAGAAATGAGTGATGATGGATATGAGCGGAATGATCTGCCTTAAATTTGATAAGGTGTTTCTAACGAAGTAAACATCGTTCAGGAAAATCTGAATGTTGGGATGTTACAGTATGTTATGCTTGCATGCATGTACAGTACTGTAACCGTATTCCGGATGCAGGTGCATGTAATGCAGAGTACGTGGTTTGTGTTTCGGCGCGCTTCTTTGGCATGTAGTGGCTCCTTTAAAAGTGTATGGAGGCGCGCGGACAGCTATGCACGGAGTGCATTTTAACCTCCATTCACTTCTGTTTGAAAACTATAATTGCTGGTCAGAAGAGCGGCGTTTTTTTTTTCTTTTGAAGTAACGCATTTAAAGGACTGCCTCAGAGCTGGCCGTCTTGCTTTCCTGTCTCATTATAAGTGGCCATGATCGAGTGGTAAGCGTTAAATACCGGAACCCACAGTCTAAGTGTACAATTTTTTTCTGACAATGGTGAGAACCACCATTACAAATGAGACGGTGTAAACATGTCCCAGCAGCCAAGACCATATAAGCACCAAGAAAGCAGATACTATTTTTCTAGGAGAACAAGTGGACATGGACACACGCTTCTTCTCTCCTCGACTCGCCCTGAAGGAAATGCCCGTGAGGATAACTCTTTAAAAACCATCATGATCTGGAGGAACTTGGCTTTGGGCAGCCCAAGGACTGATGTAACCCTCTTTAACTCCACCTGCGACCGCAGAAGATGACCGAGATCATGTGGCCAAACCCATCAGATTGCGATACATAGCAGCTGAGCGTATAAAAAGCGCGTCGCCGGTCCGCGGGGGCTGTCAGTCTGTCACAGAGTGGCTGCTTTTCATTTGGGATTTAAGACTTAAGATCATATTTCAAAAGCATGTCTCACTGTTGGGGATACGGTCCCAAACATGGTGAGCTTTTCATATTGTTGTTTTTTTTTTTTTTAGTTATTATTAGTATTGCAGTCGGACACCAGTTATCCAGTTATTCTATGAATTGCAAGTATATCATCACCATTTTCATGCATTAACTAAATGTCGTGTCCGTCCGTGTTGATCATCCACTCGGTGTGTGCTTTTGGGTTCATATTTAACAGGGGGTAAAAGAGGTCAAGCGATCTTTAGAGGGAAAAAGTATATAAAAAACTTGCTTGTGAAGCACAGCCACGTTGGATTGTTGCCGTAAAAAAGCCGGCTTTTAAATGGAGATTGCCGGCTTGTGTTGCAGGACCCGCGGAGTGGCACCGGGAGTTTCCTATTGCCAATGGTAACCGGCAGTCCCCCATCGACATCGTCCCCAGCCAGGCGCACCACGACCCGGCGCTGAAGCCGCTCAGCCTCCAGTACGACCCCAAGACCACCATAGACATTCTCAACAACGGACACTCCTTCCAGGTGGACTTCGCTGATGGCACCGACAGCTCAAGTGAGTCAACAAAGTGCCGCTTATGTTTTTTAAAAAAGTTTGCTATAGTGTCTCGGGCATATTTATTTTGCATTTATGTGTCATTTTTATTTAAGACTGATCAAATAGTTCTTAACCTACATTTAATATACATGTAGTTTAATATTCTTATACGCAGGGTCGTTTCTAGCTGTCGAAAAGTTTACCTGGGGCCTGACTTTGTTTTTTTGAAGGAAGATTGGCATCGGGGCTGAAATACTCGGGGGTATCGCTATAGCCCCGAGTGATCGGAGATCATCGGACCTAACGACGCCCTTGCATATATATTTAATGTACATGTAGTTTTACCCTTGTCTTTGTTAGTAGTTAATAATTAACGTCTAGTTTTACTGCTGTTCATTGCGTTCCCACGGGTGACTGGCTGAGTCCTATTATTCCTTTAAAAGTCCAGCCAAAATAAATGTCAAACTACATCAACATTTTGCTTTGGGAACCGCTTTAACTTAACAGCGTTGTTTGATTTTATTCAGCCTGTTTTGCTTTCAGATCTGCATTTTGTTAGTTATAATTTTTTTGTCACTTATTTTGAAAAATTAGGTAATGCCAGGCAACACAATATTTACCTAGACGATACATTTTAACATTTATAGGTCTATGTGCGTGTGTATGTGTGTCTATAGTATAAACATATACTGTATGCGTATATATGTATGCGTGTGTACTGTACGTATAATATATATAAAACTTATATATTATATAGTCGAATTTATCAATACATTTAACGTGTGTTATAGGCCTAATTTGTATTATATATTACAAAATAACATATATCCATTTTATATTACTGTTATGCTTAATGTTGTGTTTTACATTGTATAACCAAAGTGTTATTACTGTATGACTTCGCTTAATGGTAAATGGTAAACGGGCTTTACCATCCTGACACACAGAGTTTTTTGAATAACTCCGACAGTACTGCTCAGCAATTATGCCTGCGGGGATGAAGGGCACTAAAAGGCAGCGTGAACATCAGAGCCCCCCGCCCTGCCATTTGATACACGGCCGTACTGTATATTAACACACCTAGCTAGGAAGTTCTGACAATGAGTTGTTACTAATTGCAAGCGCGTAAGAATTGCAGGAGGAGCCGCCATTGTCTGCTGGGTGACACTGAGCTTTCTCTCGCAGGCACGTGCGTACATGCATGTGTGTGTACATGTGTTTGCATGCGTGTGTGTGTTTGCATGCGTGTGTGTGTGTGCATATGTATGTGTGTGCGGGTGTTTGTATGTGTGCAGGTGTGTGTGTGCATGCGGGTGTGTGTGTGTGTGAGTGACTGAGTGCCTTTTGTAGACTTGAACTCGTGTGCCTGTAGCCAGTTCAAGGGAGGGGGGTGGACCTGGCCGGGGGGGGGTAATAGGGCCTGCTCTCATGCCACATGCTCTGACCTGCAGCTCTGAAGGGGGGACCTGTCTCTGGGACATACCGGCTCCGCCAGTTCCACTTCCACTGGGGGGCCAATGACCACAAAGGATCTGAGCACACAGTAGCTGGGAAAAAGTACGCCTCCGAGGTAAGCTGGGGTCGCGGCCCGCTTTATCTCGCAGATGAAAGCAGGCAGACAGAAGGACGCCTCTCGAGGAACCGGTGCTGGTCCATGTCACCTCACTGCTATCTCCTTATCTCCAGCTCCACCTGGTGCACTGGAACACCAAATACCCCAGCTTCGCGGAGGCTGTGACCAAGCCTGACGGACTGGCCGTGGTGGGAGTCTTCCTCAAGGTATAATTATCACTGTTGTTTTCATGACTTTTATGGTGACATACGTTTTTATGAACCTTTGTGCTTTCTTTGGTCTCTTGAGTTAGTTGCTTAACTAGTTCCTAACCAAAAGTGGAAAGACGTTAGAGATGTCAGACAGTGGGCGGTCGCCCCGGCGCCCTGATGGGCAAACAGGGGCGTGCGAAGGCTGGCAGTAAAAAACGCATGAGATGGAAAGATGGTTCAAGCGGTCGCCTTTTGATCACAGCAACCGAAACCATGTCGTGTTCAGACGCATCCGGTATCGCGTCGGTCTAAAGAGAAACTTGCGCTTGGGTGGAAATGCTCAGCGGGCATCTGGGTGTTTGTGTTTCAGATCGGTGCCCCCAACAACCATCTCCAGAGAATTCTGGATGCTCTGAGTGCCATCAAACTCAAGGTGAAGTTTCACAATCCAACCCCCCCCCCCCATTACAAAAATGAGTCTTCTGGGGTCATGACCCCTACTGAGGAGCCATCATCACATTGTACAATTAAGTCAAGCACTTTCTATGGACAGAGGTATTAACAGTTGCTCTTTGTAGACATTTTAGATGCCGGTTATATTTCACAAGGTTTGTATCAGACTTATATCACAGATAAAAACTAAGGCACATGCAGGCTCATGTAGGATGGCTTACTGTTAGTGCATCTCCACGACACTCGCTGTTCCTCTTTTGTTTCTGTCAATCGCAGACCATCATACTGGGGTGGAGGAGTGGGCTCACAATGAGGGTGGGGGCGGGGTCTGACGACAGGGGCAGTCCTCCTTGGTAAAATTTGCCAACCTGGGGGGGGTGGGGTGGAAGTAGGGCTCTCTGTAAATTGTTGCAAATTAAGCATGATTCTTTGTTATCAAAAAGGGCTCTCTGTAAAATTTTCAACATGTTTTGACTGGTACCTTTCTATGTGGCCTTGATATCAGAACAATCAGACCGCATTCTCCAACTTTGATCCCAAAATACTTCTTCCTGGCTCCCTGGACTTCTGGACCTACGACGGGTCCTTGACCACGCCCCCCCTGTATGAGAGCGTCACATGGATCGTCCTGAAGGAGCCGATCACCGTGAGCTCCAGCCAGGTAAATCGAATTCCTCAGCCCACGCACCTCTGCCTGAGTCCGTTGTGGTTTTTGTGCATTGGAGCTGTCAGTTGCTGTCGGATCTGGTTCCCTCACTCGTCACTCAACGCCTCAGGAGTTAATTGTTTTCAGCCGAGGTATTTCTGTCGTAATCTTAGCCACAACTGCACCAATAACGACTGCATTACATGTCATCTGGAACTTGGTGCTTGTTGAGAAATTTGATTGACTGCTACAGTACTCAGTGGGCTGGACGTCAGTTCGTGACAGGGGAAACTGGCCATTTCAAAAGATTCGAATACCATAATAATTAAAAATAAACATTGACGCAAAACAGTGTGACAGAATGGCTTAGTGGCTGATCCTTTTGCATCACACCCCCAGGGTTGGGGATTTGAATCTTGCCTCCGCTCTAGATACATGCATGTTCTCCCCATGTCGTCTGGATCTCCTCCAGCTACTTCAGTATTCCCTTACATTTCAAAGACATGCAGTTAGACTAACTGGTGTCTCTAAATTGCTTGTTGTGTGTGTGTGTGTGGCCTGTGGTGGACTGGTGTCCCATTCAAGTTTGTACCCAAGCCTTGTGGACTGTCTTGTCTAAGGCAGGCTGACCAGGCCAAGCGTATTCAACAGAGGTGCTCAAACTGTGGGGCACTGCCCCCGGATGGGGCAAGGAGGGTGATTGAAAACAAAACAGAGGACTGTGTGAGGGCTGGGGGCAGACCTATTTTGAAATTGCAAGCTTTAGATATAGAAAAATAATGTGAACGAATTATATTCCTACACACAGTATATGGCGCTAACAAATTAAAATAATTCAAATGTCTGAAATATACATGCACCACGTCAGTGTGTGTGTGGGAGGAGGAGATCAAGTCAAATATATCAGCCCTAGGGGGGCCCAGCTAAAAAGAAAGTTTGAATACCACTGGGTTAGAGGAGGGATTTAATACAGCAAACATCAAAGGCTGCTCCCTCTCGGGCTGTTTGTGTCACCAGCTTCTCCTGCCACGTTTGGCTGCTCGGCCTGTCAGTGAAAAACAGGTTTTTTTTTTCCTGACGTCTGAAATCCATCCAGCAATTTCACCTTGACCTAACATGTAATTTAGTACTAATTGTTAGTCTGGCTTACATCAGAGCAGGGCTGACTCTTTTTTTAACTACTGACCACAGGTAAAAAAAAAACAAACAAAACAAAACAGCAAAACAAAAACACTCGGTAAATATAGTCGTTTTTGACCTCAGAGTGAGGATCTGGATGAGATGGGAGTACGTTACACGCTATTCCACGTGACTGGCTGGTTTCCAGTTTTGCTTTTGGCCTGACGCCTGTAATTGTTCCATGCAAAAAACCCCTCCTATCGCACATCACATCTGAATACCTGTCGTAGGTGCTGCACAGAGACCGAACGGCCCAGTGGATTAGTCGTATTCACCGCCCTGAGTAATGGCATTGTGTTTTCATACTTAGTTCTTATAAAAAGACAAGGTGATCATGCCCCTGCCAAAAGAGCCAAATACCATTTATTTAGGTCTATTTTATACTGTACATCTATATTATATACTGTAGATTTATTGTGTACCCTTAGGTAACCAAGACAATGGCTTACGATTTACAATGTTACGATTTACAGTGCTAAAAAAACATGAAGTAATACAGAAGGCATCCAGCTCTCACTTTGCTCCCTGAAAATGAATTTCATTTTAGTTGTAATAGTAAAAAATAAGGTCTAAGCCTCCACAGGAGCACGGTTGGGGTATTTCAGGTCCAGAAGCTACAAATCCAGACCACGATTTTGTTTCTACCAACCCAGTTGAGCACTCTGCGACTGTGACTCTTCATGCATTTACTGACAGTCACATGTCTGTGGGCCCTTGAGCAATACCTTTAACTCCCAGCTTCAGGGCTGCTGCACATCCCCTGACCCTGTGCGCTGACCTCCAAGCTATGGAAAGTAAGCTGGGGTCAGTGAGGAGAAGCATTCCCATGTACCTGTATCTCTACTCGTTCCAAGGTCAAATAAAGCACGTTTGTTTTGTTGTTTCAACTCATTGGTAGAGTCTTGGTCTGGACTTGCAGCTTCTGGACCTGAACTGTCCAACACTGAGCTGGAGTTTGTGGAAGGAGCCCACTTGCTGGCTTTAAGTTTGCAGGTCGAGCCATGCATCTGGCCACGCAAACATCTGAGAAGCTCTGTAGATTGGCCACTCTCAGGGCTCCCTGTGGGCTTATATCTCCTGCTCGCTGTCAGGCGTGCGAACGTCACAAGAGATAAGATCTCGGTTTTCACACTCTGTCCGACGCTCCCGTTTCCTCAGAGTGCCTCGTTGCAATAATAACAGGTATACTGGTACCACTTTAGAATGCATTTCTGACTCATCTCACAACTTGAGTGGTACTTTATCTAGATCGCTGATCTTTGTTTTTTATCTTAGTTTGTGTTTGTTTAGCTATCATTTTATTACCCATTTCATCCTGATTAGATCTGATAACATGGATGTCCCATAAGGTGGTGGAAGCATGACAGCTTAATGTAGAAGGCGTTAAATCCGGCATCTATATTTAGCAGAGCCGTGTTTTAGAGTAACTATCTGACCGACGCCACCTGCTCTGTTCCTGTGTCCTGCACTCTCACACACTTCCTTGGTATCATGCATTCCCATCAATAGCTACTTTTTACACACGGTGACACCCCTGTGCTCACACACACACACACCCAGTGGCTGCAGAAGCATAGCTAGATGTCCGTAGGACACTGGCACTGGGGATGAGGCTGGCGTGGGATGTGTTACCTCGTTCACCACAGGATGCAACTGGGAAACTACCTGTTACTCTGTTTATTCCTGTATCAAAGTGTTTTGTTGCCAGCTTGATATATGACGTGTAGAGTCATACACTGAGCTGATATGTCAGTCTCACTGGTCGTAGTGCAAATGAAAATGAAAAAAATGGACTATAAATACTAAGATATAAACAGACATGCTATTTGATGACATGACATTAGACAGAAAGGTATGAGTGACTACGTGATTGGTGGGGAACAAAGTGCCTCTTTGCCCCTCCTTCCTGCTCCCTCTCCTCTGCTTTCAGAGGATCTCTTCCTTCCTTTCCCCCTCACTTTCCTCCATCTTCACCCTGTCCCATCTCTCCCTGCAGATCGCACACTTCCGGAGCCTTCACTCCAACGCCGAGGGAGAGCCATCCTGCTGCATGGTGGAGAACTTCCGTCCCCCCCAGCCCCTCAAGGGCCGCGTGGTCCGCGCCTCCTTCAAGTGAACACAGCGTCTGCCACCAGCCTGACCCCGCCCCCCCCCGACCCAGAAGTAAACAAACTACTCAGTCTGTCCATTATAAGTAACAAAAACGCAGAACTAGTACCACACTTGCTCGTCTTCATGACTCCCAGTCTGCAGACCTCGCACCCCCATCCTTATCTGCAGAGACCTTTTACTTTCATCTAGTCCCACAAGGCCGCCACTAATTCTGAAGAAACGCCATCCGACGCCGACTCCGTCTTGCCCCTCAGCTGTCAGGTTCCACCTGCCTTTTTTTCCGGAAAGATCTCAGCCTGCCGTCTTGCTTCTCAGGGTCTTCGTTTTCAGAGCGTCTGCCACTAGTTGGCATCAAATGGCAGCTTGGCTGAAAGAAATTGAAATGTGCGGATTGATTCTGAAGTTGCAGCCCGCTGAACAGTCATACTCACTATCGCTTAGGTCAGCCCGAGTCCCGTGGGGCTTCCCATGTAACGCAGCTTGCTGCTCTGTGTGTTTCAAGCATAGCTTTTGAAAATGAAAATGTATAGATTATTATTATATAGAGTACAGAAATATTTTTCATGTCGATTTTTAAAAATATTATAGTTTGTTTTTAAATAATGATGCTTATATTAAAGTCTTACCAAGCAACATTGTTGCACTGGGAGAGGAAGATTTCCAGTTTTTAGATGCTGGGAAAGCAGGGATGATGAATCGGGTAAATAAAAGTATTTTAAGAAGACTGCTGTCTCCAGTGTGATTGGCTTAAAATATAAGGTTCTATCTATCTATCTATCTATCTATCTATCTATCTATCTATCTATCTATCTATCTATCTACCTATCTATCTGTCTGTCTGTCTGTCTGTCTGTCTGTCTCCCATTAATTACAGAAACCAAACATGCTCATCTGATTCAAGTTCCATCTTATTAAAACTCAATCTCGAATGCTAATCCTAACTTTAGCTCCAACCCTAATACTGATCCTATAATGCTACTCCGCCACTTCTCAGCTAAATGCATACAGCATGTGTCACTAATAACAATCCTGACATTACTTCCACGGTCTCCACCCTCCCCCAAAGGTGTCTCAATAGAGATGGATATCTCTCCTTCTTATGTTAACGCACGTCTCTCATCAGTCAGGCTGTACCTGTTGCTTCTGGAAACTCCAGTGAGTCACAATCCGCCGTCCCAGAAGTGAAGCACCCACGTCAGGGCATCGTGACAGAGACACAAACCGAACCCTGTTGCCAGGGGAGAGTCACCATTAGATGTCTGTCCCCTTTTCCAGTGCCAAGTCTGTTCATGCAATCGTGCAAAACAATAAGAATTTGTATGGCAGGTGCGAATGCAGCTAACAAACTCATGAATTACTTCACCAATTCTGCTGATTTTTTTTTAAAGGGTTAAGAACTGAGTTTTGGTTCAGTGTTTTGTTGTCAGCCCTTTTCACAAAAATGTATTTAAGATCACAGTATATGCTTAAGCACTCCCTGTCCTCCACATTCCAGCGATAGCATACTAATATAGTTAAAAGCTGGCAAAGATTCAGCTCAGGAAAAATGAAGAGGCCACTCTATGTTTTTTTTTTTTTAAATCTGCATCTTTAAATCCTGGTTTAATTCTGGTTTAATCCCGGTCCTGTGGGAAGAAGGCTACACTGTGAGGCAGGCTGCTTCTAAGCTCAAGGTTTCTAAAACCACAGTACACAAGATCAAGGTGAAGCAGGAGACACTGGCAATGACAAAAACCAGCCAGGTGGAGGGCAGAAGTAACTAATGCCAGAGATGAGCATCAACTTATCTGGCAGTGCCTCATAAATCGGAGGATGATCTCAAGTGACCTTCTAAAAGAATGAGAAACATTAAGTGCAGGTGTGAAGTGCACTACTAGGGCAATTCATAACAGGCTCCTACGAGCAGAACCAAAGGGCCATAAAGCAAGGAAGAAGCCCTTCATTAATGAGAAACAGTGAAGAACCAGGCTGCAGTTTGCAAAAAATATAACATATATATTTATAATTAATATATATATTCGCAGACGCATACCCATAAATTTAGAAATGAGTGAAACAAAAATTGTGCTGTGGTCACTTTATGTTATCCAAAGCAGTTTGTTTATAATCCAACTGCAATAGAATGTTTCTGCAAGACACACACGCTCTAATTACGGTGAGAGACGCAATAAGGATGATGTCCAGTCCTCTGCAGGTGTTAGAAGCCCCGATGGATGAATAAGTGCTGATAAATGCCTAACCTCCCCCCCCCCACACACCCCTCTAACAACCTCCTCAGTCTCCTACCATCTGGGAGAAGGTACCGGAGCCTCCACGCCTGCTTCACCAGACTGAGGAATCGTTTCATCCACCAGGTTGTCAGGATGCTGGACACTTTCCCCTCTCTCCCCCCTCCCCCCACCGCTCTGTAACCCCCACCCAGCTATATCCAGCAGTAGCCATTTTATTACTTTACTTTGTTTACTTACTTACCTACAACATAGATTGATTAACGAATTAATGGCTGCTGTCTGCATTTGCATTGTGAATCCACCATATATGGAATTGCCTTATTGTCTTTGGCACAAAGTATTTAATTTTATTTTATTTTCAATACTCGCATGTACTTGTATACTTGTGTCTGTCTTGCTTGTCGTTGTTAGTACACTCACCATGGAGTCTGACAGTAATGTACTTTCAATCCTCAGTGTGTTCTGTACATACTGTATGGCAGAACTGACAGCAAAGACTCGACTTTTGAGGGGCCACATGCACAGATGGCAAAGCAACTTAAACAAAAGAAGGTCAGTATGGCGAGTGGTTCACGGAGACTTCCTGGCGATGGGCTGATGAAGACGAAACATCCAGCAAGCGGGTGGGAAAACTAACACGAGGCGGAGAAGAAGCGGCTGTCGTTGGCTTTTCTGTCCAAGGTACAGCATCACTGTCGTGTCACTGAGCACAACGTTCAGCGTGAATTTACCCTGGCAGTGAGTGAGAGTCCAAGCAGGGCAGACGATAATCATGAGCATAAGGTCTGTAATCTGGAGACTAGACGGACACCCAGCTCATTCAACCTGTAGTTTCCAGACCTTCTAATGTATAGGTTGTGACCCCTGGAGGGGTTGTGAAAGACCGTAGGAGAACATGGTCACAAAATAAAATAAAAGTAAAAAAAAAATTCATTTTAACCATAACTGCAGCCCCATCCCTTTCCGTTTGGCGAAATGTATTGAAGGTGACACTCCCCCCCCCCCCTCAAAAAACAAAAATTTACGAAGGACAATTCCACGCCTCCACCCGATCGGCGAAATAGGGGTCGTAAGCTAAAAAAGTCCTCATGATATAAAGGAGGAATATTTGTGCAGCCCCAGAAGGGTGTGACCAGAGTGAAAGGAGGAAGTAGGAGCATCATGGTATGGGGAGGCTCAGGAAATCAGAAATCAGACGCGGTTCTGCATGACCCGCATTGCAGCCTCCCCCTGCTGCCCCACCCTATTCAAATAAAGCATCTCGACCACAATGCCAGTGGCAGCTACACTGTAGCGACATCTGTTAAAGAAACACACCTGCCCCAATTGTGCCTCCAGGGATACTGTGGCCTTAATGGCTATTGATGGATGGATGGATGGAAATTTTGGGTTACACTCCTTTCTAGCCAAATAAGGATCATTTGCAATTAGGTCAATGAAGCCATAGTGTGTATAACTTTCATCTTGCTAACCTGAGGTCATACACAAATTAGTCATCGATCAGATATAGAGGCGACGTGCGGCTCAGCACATTAGGTCCGTGTCTGTGACTGGAAGGTTCCCATCTGGTTGTTGGCTTCATGCCCTTCAGTGCACCTCAATGCCTATGTACAAATGGGACATAAATATCATCATGTTTGAACAAACATCCAACGTCGCACTACTGACAATCACAAGCGGCATCACCTGGTGCGGGGGCCTGGTGCTTCTGATTTTCATTCAGCTAAGGATTCCCCCCGCCGCTTGCTGGATGGACTGTGTTGGGGTTTGATAGTCAGGTAGTCACCTTCGGGGGTTGGGGACAGGGGATTGTTTTCGTTGCCTGCAGGGCGTTGCGCAGTACGTGTGGTTAAGAACTTCACCAGCTTCCACGCACACTGTCGTGCACGGCTGCGAGTGATAAGGAGAGCGAGGCCCTGCCCACCGGCACAGGCAGTACGCGGGAAATGCCAGCTAGCACAATGCCACGGAGGCAGAGGTGTGTCGGAGGCCTCGTCCAATGGGATCTGCAGGATCGGAAAGGGTCAGCTGTCTCATCCAATGGGGATCCACAAAATCTGAAAGGGTTAGCTGCTTCATCCAGTGGGATTCACGGGATCTGAAGGGGTTAGTTGCTTCATCCAATGGGATTCATAGGATCATAAAGGGTTAGCTGCTTCATCCAATGGGATTCATGGGATCTGAATGGGTTAGTCTGTCTCATCCAATGGAATCCAGGAAATCTCAAATTGTCAGCTGCCTCTTCAAAGTGGGATTCACAGGATCAGGAAAACTGCTTCATCCACTTACATCCAGATACAGAAAACACTGCCTAATTATAACAGCCAATCTGGGTCAGATACTGAACATCTGCGTCACATATCACATAAGCCACCACGATGGAGACTGACACTTCATTACAATCCATTTTTTCTGGGCTGCACATTAATAATAAATGTCATGCTTGGGTTTCTCTAACATGTGGGTTGGGATGCCGGCCCCTTAGAGGCAGGAGTGTCCCCATCCTGGTCACGAGAATTTTCCACCATTTTCACACATCCATCCAAAACAGTGAATGAGGAAGAAAAAAATAAAAACGAAACACTGAAAAATAGACTTTGCCTCAGATTCAGTTCTTGGAAAAACAGACCACAGACAGAACAGACTTAAATATGCACTGATAACATAACAGCAAGCATCAGGCGACGTCAGGATGCTCTAGAAGTCGGCCGCATCGACTTGGCATTGTACCCCCCCCCCCCCCCCGGACTCCCCCCTCATTCATTGGGGCCCATTACCTTCCCAAGTCACCCTTATGTTATACTACTGCTATTATTTACGTGTCACTGTTTTGCACAAGGCTTGCACAAGGCTTGCTCCTTGACTTTGGAGTGTATGCAGAAACTCATCCTGACATGGGGGAGGCACGGCAGTTTGAGTCACAGACCTCACAGTTCAGGGCTGTGGCTGTGAAGGCCTGGACCCGCTGAAGCTTGTCCTTAAAATCGCGCTGATATCGGAGCTGTGCTTTCTTCCAGACACAACCATTATAAAACTCAACGGAGCCTGAATCTGGCCTACAGTCAGGCCCTCACAGGCCACTCACGTTAGTTTGCACTTTAAGGATGCAGGTCTGGGATCTGAACTGGGAAGGAACATTATTAAATGCCAACACTAATGTTGACTAATTATTTCAGTTTTTTCCCCCCAAAATTGCAGGCTGGAAATAAAATAAAACAATACAGAACTTTTTCGAACACCTTAGTCTTCCAACTCCAAGTGACAGTCCCCTGATAAACCAGCAACTCCTCTTACGACAATTATTTGCTCAGTAAACGCAATTTTAGACTCCAGACCCATGGACGTGATTTATGGCATAGTCAGAGTTTTACCGCAAATATTATGTTTAAGAAAAGCAAAGAGATTAATGGGTCAAATGGGACACTTTCTGGGTGGCCTGGTGGCCCCAGTGACAGGGCTGAATCCTCCGTCTCCAGAATCATAACGAGCTTGC